AGTGATTTTCGCCGCCGTAAAAAAATTAATGATAATAATGTATAAGAATAGTTCGGGCAGTTCAGCCCACGGCTGTTTGTGGGGGACGGCGTTGGGCGCGACCGGTGCCCGCGTGTTGCCCCGCGAAACACACCCGCGCACAGTCACTACACTTTTTTAGAGGCGACGAGTGTGCGGACGTGACAATCTGCAGCGCGAGGCTGACACCTTGTGGCCATGAACAGGTACCGCCACCAGTACCCGGGGAGGGTGGTCGGGGGGGGGGGGGTGGGGGGGGGTCACTTACACCAAAACCATCCGCTTCTTGGGGCACAATCACTAATTACTATTATTGACGCAATATTACGGGGTTTACGTGTTAAAAGATTCCGTGTGGTGTTCGCCCCCAACTGTCGAGGGGACGGTCCTCATCACATCATTCCCAGCTTTGTGCGCCCCCCACCCCACAGCCCCTGTACCCCAGGGGTTAGACCCTCCCTCGCACCCCACAGCCCCTGTAGCTCAGGGGTTAGACCCCTCCCCTCACACCCCACAGCCCCTGTACCTCGGGTTAGACCCCTCCCTCGCACCCCACAGCCCCTGTACCCAGGGGTTAGACCCTCGCCTCGCCAGCCACGGCTCCTGTAGCTCAGGGGTTAGACTCCTCACCCCCCACCCCACAGCCCCTGTAGCTCAGGGGTTAGACCCCTCCCCTTAGCTCAGGGGTTAGACCCCTCCTCACCACCTGTAGCTCAGGGGTTAGACCCCTCGCCCCCCACCCCTGTAGCTCAGGGGTTAGACCCCTCGCCCCCCATCCCACAGCCCTGTACCCCAGGGGTTAGACCCCTCCCCTCGCACCCCACAGCCCCTGTACCCCAGGGGTTAGACCCCTCCCCTCGCACAGCCAGAGGACCCGGGTTGGATTCCCGGGCGGGTCAGGTCAGGGCGAAACCTCAGGTCGGTTTCCTTACTCCCCCCCTCCCCGCCCCCACCCCACACGCACCTGTGTTTACCCGCAATAAGTAGGAACCCGGTCGGTAAGTTGATTGGCGGATCGCTTTCCGGGGTAATAACCCATTCCCCCCCCCTCCGCCCCCCAAATAATTTGCTCACTTCAATCCACGACCCTTTGCGGACACACTTCTGCCGCGTTCTCACCCACAAAATACGCAGTCACTGGACTTCACAGAGTCTCCCGCGAAGCGCTTTTGAGACCCGATAAGGCGCCGTGTGTCAAATGCAGTAACTTAAATTATTACGATTATAACCCCCCCACTCCCCCCCCCCCCCCCACACACCCACACCAGCCGTGTCCTCAACAAACCGACCGGACTCGTTCGGAGACAGAAAAGACCTCTGACGCTCAGCGGTGAAATAAGGAGAGGCCACCACAACGTTCAAAAATACGATGATTTATTTCATCTAAATTCGGGCGAGATGTAGCAGAAACCCACTGGGGGGGGGAAAAAAAACACCCTCAGGGCAAGTGTAAGAAAGGCAGCCCTCGCATTCAGCGCACGTCACAAAATGGGCAGCGTAGGCAAGAACAGAAATCAGGGGCTTAAAAGGGGGGGTGGGGGGGGGGGGGTAGTAGGGTGGGGGGGGTGGGGTGTGGGGGAGAGTAAAGGTTCACAGAAACCTCTTCAATAATAATAATAATAATAATCCGGAAATAAAAGCATCACTATCGTATCGGAATGTTTAGAAAGTTAAATCGGTTAAGTTCCTTCCGACGGGAAGCGGAGATCGAGGCGTCAATTCGAGTTCCCGCGCGAAACGTTTGATATATCGTTATCGCGTCGGATATAGTTCCCCCCCACCCCCTCCCCGCCCTCGTGTAAGGTAAATTAAACCCCCCCCCACCCTCAACAGTTAGCGTAACGCGGTTATTTTTCAAGGAAGTCAAGTCCAGCCTGTGTATCACAGCAAAAAAAAAATAATCATAAATCAAATCGCTTTCGAGAGGAATGTAAGATAATAAAACTACTACAGCTTCACCCTGCGTGTGCGCGCGTGCGCGCGTGTGTGTGCCCGCGTGCGTGTGTGTGTGTGTGTGTGTGTGTCCCGCCCGCTCACGCGTTTTACATTTTAATTCCAGGCTTGAGTAGAAATTGATACCGTCGGAGAGAGAGAGAGAGAGAGAGAGAACCAGAGAAAGAAAAGCCCAGCTTCGTTTAAAAAAAAATGGCGATCTTCCGTTCAATTCAATCCACCACACGCTGAACGCCTCCAACGTTACGTTATGTACACAGAATATCGAGGAAGAAAATAAAAAGATTAAATACGCAGAGATAAATATTGCTCCGTCTCACACCCCTCGATTGTAGTTGCTTTCACCCCCCACTCTCTCCTACCTGTAGAAATAGAGAGCACTACAAAGCTAATGTGCCTTACACACAACACCTCCAGTGGGGTAAAGACCTGTGGGGGGGGTGGGGAGGGGGGGCAGAGACTATCAGAGACCCCTTTTAGACCCCCACCTCCACTACACCTCTATAAACCCCCAGTGGGGTCATTCGATAACCGTGTGATTACAAGATTGTGTGTGTGTGTGTGTGTGAGGGGGAGAGAGAGAGAACAGGTAACTCTCCAAACTGGTGTGTGTTTAAACACGATTTTGTGTGCGCGCACGAGTGAGTGAGTGAGTGAGTGAGTGTGCGAGTGAGTAAGTGTGCGAGTGAGTGCGTCGACAAACACGGAATGACATCAGTGGGACTTTGCTCCGCTTGGCTCATCCGAAACCCATGACTCCCTCCCTCCCTCCCCGGCCAGGACACCGCACATCACCACTAACCCCCCGCACCATCCCGGGACACACAGCGAACTGAACCGGACTGAAGACACCACCACCACAAGTCGTTTGGACTCTTTCTCCCAACATCCAGACTCACGCGCACACTCGCGCACAACAGATCAAAGGGCCAACCGGTGACACCAGTACCTCTGGGTCCCGTCTCGATCTTGTGAGGGGATAACAGGGCTTTATCGTGTGTTCGCGTGAGGGTGACTGACCCACACTGACTGACCCAATTCTGTCCACGTGAAGGAAATCCACAACACCCAAACCAGCCTCAACCGCCCCCGAAATTAGAGTTAGGGATTGAAGTGTTCGTCAAGGAAGTTGGGATCTTATTGGTGAAGCGCTATCTGCCATTGACTGACTCCCCCCCCACTCCCCCCTCTCTCTCCGCTCCTTCCTCACAGCAAATATTTCACTGTATTTTTTTTAAAAAAATCCCTCGTAACAAGAGTGTTTGGTCGTTTCCTTAAGATGGAGGGAAAGAGCGGAACCGGAAGCTCTAATTATTTATAATACTGAAATATTCACTTTTACATCATTTTTTTTGGTGGGGTGGGGGGAGCGCAGTGGTGGTGGGGGGGGGAAGGGGAGGAGGAAAGAGAGAAAAAAAATTACAAGGAGTCATTTTCCTATGGAACGGTGGAATTTTAAATCAAAAAAAATTGGTCGATTTTCCCCACAGGTTTAAGGATTAAATCGTTTGGTCCCCTGTGACGCTGTGAATGAGGCGCTTTGAGACGTCGCGAAGAGGTGATAAGGTGCAGTATCAAAAGCAAGGATTATGCAACGTGGAATGGTTTGGGAATTTGGTGCAGTTATATATATATATATGTATGAAAACATAGTCTGTATGCAGGGTTTACCGCCGAACACCCACACACACACACCACACACCGCACACCCACACGCGCACGAAATGGGACGTTTGCATAGATTTAAGACCGACAAGTCGTTATATCAAGTAAGACACATCATGGAATGTCTGAGAGAGGGTCTCCGGAGGGGTGTGGCTGTTATAAGCGCGTCAATCTGTCGACCGTACATGTGGGTAGGTAGGCGGTTGAAAGAGAGAGAGAGAGAGAGAGAGAGCGCTGAAGAGGGGAGAGAGAGAGCGAGAGAGGTGGGGAGAGAAGGAAGGAGAGAGAGAGAGAGAGAGAGAGAGGGCTGGCTGTGGAGACGAGGTGAAGCTGGTTACAGGTCACTCTCCCCGTACAGAGCTGTGGAGAAGGACATGTAATCGAGAGCTCCTGGCACAGCGTCTGGGCCCGCGTAGGGTGCCATCCGGGCAATGCAGTACTCCGCCTGATCAGGAGGCAGCTCTCTCCGCAACTCGTCTGCGGTGATGTAGTTCTGGAAAAAGGAGGGACACGAGAACGGGTCAGGGGCGAAGTTTCCTTTTATTACACCCACACAACCACAAACACCCAACCGCGCCTGTTTACCAGCGGTGGGTAGGAACCCGCTTGTGGGTCGAGTGGCGGATCGCTTTTCCGGGGGTAACAATCCTTTCAAAATAAATGATTCCGTCTGTCCATTGTTCTCCATTTCCCTCAAATATTTTCCCTATTAATCTCACTCTCCAGCACACGCTCACACTCTCTCTCTCTCTCTCTCTCGCCACCATTTCTTTTACTGTTCAGTCACTCGATCCACGGCCGTTTTGATCGATTCCCCTTTGAACAACTCCATGGATCTGACAGATCGGGTTTGTTCCCGAGCCACACCTTTGGCACAGCACCGTGAGAGCCAGTGAGGAATGGCAGACATCCCTCCCACACAGCCAGGTCCACAACACCTGGGATTGTTCTCCTTATGGCACAGAAGGTTGAGGGGCGATTAATCGAGGGGTTCACAATTATGAGGGGGTTTTCATACAGTAGGTGGGGGGGGGGGACTGTTTCCTCTGGCGGGTGGCAGATTTAAGATAATCGGCAAACGAGCCGGAGGGGAGAGGCCAGACGAGGAGACATTGTTTTACCCGGAGAGTTGTTATGTCTGGAACCCACAGCCTGAAAGGCTGATGGGAGCAGATTCCATAACGGCTTTGAAAACTGAATCGGATTGAAAAGGAACAATGTGCAGAGCTGTGGGGTAAGAGCGGGGGGAGTGGGGACTAGTTGGAGTAAGAGGGGGGGAGTGGGGACTAGTTGGTGGCTCTTTCAGGCACAATGGGTCGAATGGCCTCCTCCTGAGCTATAAGGTTCTGTGATTGCATAAAAGGTGACGGGAAAGTCAGAAGGAAGGGACTGGAGGAAGCAGCTCAGGGTCTCGCGCAGTCACGGGGGCCGCTCTCTCTGGGCTGTGACTTGTGCAGAGTCGGAGGAGTTTACGAGACGTTCCACACAGTCAGTCAAGCGCCAGGTTGGTTATAAAGGAAATAAACAATGCGGTTGAAAGGCCCATTATCAGTTAATCATTTAACAGCAGACATTTCAGCAGCAGGTTAGGACCTGTCGTTATCACTGCTGAGCAGGACCAACGACTTTCTCTGCACGGGAGTGAGAAGTGGCTCCCAAGGCAGCACTGGCTGAGCCGTTGCTCACGGTGATTCATCGGCAGCTGATGGGAAGACAAGACAAGAGGGACACCTCCCTCCTGGATGGATTACTGTGGGCTTTCAGAAGCTCAGCAACGCACTAACCGCACGGCTCACACTGCACCACCAGTGTTCTCAACACAGTTCGTCTTGAGAGTGTCTGTCCACAGTTCTCCATTTTCTTCAATCCTTTTGACTATCAATCCCACTCTCCGTCTCTCTCTCTCTCTCCCCCCCACCACGTCCTTTACTATTTTCCCTGCTTAGGCTCCTTCTCAAAGCAACACTCCTCTGATTACCCAGTGGTTGTTAAGTCGATCAGCAGCAAATCAAATGCAAGGATTATTATTATTATTGTTATTATTATTTCCAGGAATAAGTTGAGAGTAAAAGCGAGTTGTATCAGCCCCAGGAAATGGACCTGAAAGGGCAGTGGGGGGCTGTGATCACCCCGAGCTTGTGATCAGGGTGACATCCTGTACCACAAAGCCATCTACCAGTGTGCTTGAGCGTCCCCTGCTGCCCGCAGCGCACCCACCCCCACCACTCACCTTGTCTCCCGCCAGGATCTTGAAGGAGGCCATGACTTGCTCAGCCGTGTCCGTGTCTGTCGTCTCGTGTGACATGAAGTCGATGAAGGCCTGGAACGAGACTTCGCCCGTGTTGTTGGGGTCGACGACACCCATGATCCGGGCAAACTCCGCTTCGCCCTGGCGGGAAAGGGACACAACGTGAACTGGGAGCAGAGAGACCCCGCGGAAAATCAACAGCACAAAGGCTTCTGAGTGAGGGGAGGGTGGTGGGGGGGGGAAGAGGGGTTCTTTGCTGATTGAAGAGGTCTTGAAGGTGGCGAGGGAGGGGGCGAGGTGGAGGGACTGTGGGATGGAGTTCCAGAGGGTGGGGGCAGAGAAGCTGAAGGCCCGTCAGGTAGGGACATGGAGCAGGCTGGTGCCAGGGGAGCGGACAGGTCTACATGGAAGTATGTCCACTGTCTGTCATCGGGGGATGCTGCGGCCACGAGGTGTCGCCACTGTCTGGCAAAGTCTTCTGCTTGCGTGGAAGTCATTCTCTGCCCTCCCTTCCTGGATGGTTGAGAGAGTAACGACCGCCTCTCTCACTCCCTTCCCTTCCAAATGGCCAGTTTACTGAGAGTGAGCGAGGGAGGGAGGGAGGGAGCCTGGGCTGACTGGCCACACGGGGTGTCAAACCTCAGCCCAGCCCCGACCCACCCAATACAGGGAACATCCTACCGGCCGTGTCAGTCACCACAGAGCCAGTGATCAGGGGACCTTCAGTCCAACACCACAGGCACTATGCACTTAGGGGCAATTGAGCCACAGTGCTGTGTGTGTGTGTATGGGGGGGGGGGGGAGGAGGAGGGAGATAGGCACAGGGGTGAGGAGAGTAGAGAAAAAAAAACATTTTATTTCCTAACTTCAGTCAATGAAAACGCAGCATTAAATTCATTCCACTTCAATTCAACACATGCAGTTTTTGGGCCACATTCAAAGAAGCAGAGAGAGAAGAGAGAGGAGAGAGAGAGAGAGAGAAAGATCAGATCGAATGGACAGACGTTTAATCACAATGCATTGACATAACAGAACTCGGAATACCCTGCAAGCTCGCTCAGGTACGGTGAGAGGGGAGAGGGTGGCGGTGGCGGAAAGTTTCCATTGTGGGTTACCGTAAACTCCTCTGCCGGGATCGCACTGGTGTGGTGTGCACTGGTGCGGACCTTCGCCGCAGATACACGCCTCCAAATCTTAAAGCAAAATCTGCTCCGAGACGTTCCGACGATCGGTTATTCGTCGACCTGAAGTGTTAACCCACTTTCCTCTCTCCATGAATGCTGCCTGACCTGCCGGCTGTTCCCAGCGACTTCTGTTCTTACTTCTGTTCTTATAAAGTGTGTGTATGTGTGTGTGTTTTTTTTAAGCCCTCTCTCCCACCCCCAACTCCCAGGTCTCTGCCAAGGCAAGTTACCCAACTGTGGCCTGACGTAAAGGATCGTGCTCTGGGGAAGAATGGTTGGTCTCTTTCGTTGGCGGGGCTTAAGCATTAAAATTAAATTCATTTAATTAAATTAATTCCTTTATTAATTAACTAACAATCCCTGTGGCTGGTGGGTTGCGTAAAAGATGCGAGAAACTGCAGCGCGGACCTGCATTAGCCCTGACGAGGGGAAGCTCATTTTAATGCGAGTATTATTGTAAGTAATTCTACTCTACGCTGCTGTAGCCCGTAAGAATTTGATTACATTTCGGTGTTGAGGGTCATGGAGGGGATTCAAGCCATCAATGTCCAGTACACACCAAACCAGCAGAAACTTCCTGAAGCGCATTAGAGCGGTGTGTGAAGCTGCCTTGGAACGAGCAAGCCTGTCGCTAGGAAATAGTCACCGAAATATAGGTGAGAGCTTACAAGTCAAATGGCTGGTATTTCTGGGTGGAGAAGATGTGGAGAAGGGAAGAGGAACCATACCAGACTGTAGCCCGTGGAGATAAGCAGAGCTCGCAAATCGTCAGCGTCCATCAGCCCCGTTCGCTTCTACTCCAACAGGGAAGCAGGAGCAAGAGAAACACGCACACAGACATAACACACACACACACACACCACATATACGTAGACAGACACACACATACACATAGACACACACACACCGCATAAACACACCATACACACACACACACCAACCATACAGACACACACCACATACAATAGAAAATTACATTTGTAATTACACACACACGCGTACACACACAGACACACACACAACCCACAAACGAGTGTCAAAAGACAAGGGAAGACGAGAGAGTCAGACAAGACAGATAGGGCCCATCCCAACAAAGGGAAAGGGAAAATGAAAAGGGAAAAATAAAAAATAAAATAAAAAGGACAAAGGACAGGTTAGGGTTATCGAGAAAAGGCACACGGGGTAAAGACCAGAACACAGACAGTCCAGGATAAAAGGAGAGAAAAAATATATACAATTAGCTTCTTTATGTATAACAAGTGCTTATTGCAAACCAATATCAATACCTGTTGGTCATTTCCCACATCATAACCCAAGCTGATAAGGCAGGCTTTAAACTCCTCGGGTCCCAGTTTGCCACTGAGGTCCTGCACAGGTTGAAGGTTGCAGATCGAACATGCAGGTAAATATGGCGAGATGTTCACACAGAGTGGTTTGGGAGTTGGGGAGAGGGAGAGGGTGGGAGGGGGGAGGACGCCGGTTGGTGTGGATGAGGATGTAAACACACCATGCACCGTGCAGAAGACATGCAGATAGAGAGAGAAAAAAAAAGGAAAAAAAAATGTCACGTTAGACAAACATCTGACACAAATGGTGAGGGAATAAAAAAAAACACACACTTGAAACAAGATGTAAATGAAACCGGGAACCCATGCCCTGCAAACACCATTTACCTGTCCACTGCTCTGCCTCTAGTCGGCGTTAGACACTGATCAGTCACATCAACAACACGTTACATTTACGTCGGGAGGACGTCCCAAGGCGCTGGACAGTCAGGGATTTGGACCCGAGCTGGGGGTCGGGATCAGGAGGGGGTGTAGGGCGGGGAGGTTGCGGGTTAGGAGGGCGACCGAAGGAGCGGTCAAAGAGGAAGGATTTGAGACGGGTCTTCAAGGAAGCGAGGGAGGGGGTGAGGCAGAGGGACTGCAGGATGGAGTTCCAAAAGGTGGAGGCAGAGAGGCTGAAGGCCCGACCGCAGGTGGTGGGGCGGGACACGGAGAAGGCCGGAGCCCACTGAGCGGAAGGAGTGGACAGGTCGATAAGGAATTAGCAAGTCACAGGGGTAGGGAGTTAGCGATGAGGACCGGGTCGAGTTGCCCAAACTGCATTTCCTCAGGGCTCAAAGTCGGCAGAGAGCTGACTTTTACCCCAGCGGTGTGGGCTGATTATATTATATTCCATTAGTGTTTCCCCAATTGGTATTAAAAGAACTAAGTGGCTTTCGATGAGGAAGCAGCCAAATTGTGGTCATTTATTTAAAAGCAACTTAAAACAGCATCGAGACTAACGCATCCTCCTAAAGCAGAGCACTCACAGATTGCTGTGCAGAATCGTGCTGCCACGTTTACCTTCATAGTCACTCCATTTCACAGTCAATCCTGTGAAGCGCTTTGAGACATCCTTCCAACTCAATTACCAAATGCAAGGATAATTCACCCACAAAATACAGTCAATCCACTTTACAGTATATCCTGCGAAGGGCTTTGAGACGTCTCGACAACGTGAGAAGGCGCTGTATCGAATGCAAGGATTATTATTATTTGACCTCCAGTGATTCAGTGGATAAATTTGGAGCTCACCTGGCCCCAAGTATCATCTCTTTATGTGTCAAAGTGCATAGCATGGCATTAGATGTGTAAAGTGGAGTCTGGTTCTGTGGAGAAACCAGATTGCCTCACAGTCATCCAGGGCGTCATAGACAGGCGACCAGTCTGTCTGGCTCATCGTTGAGCCTTGGGCAGGGTAGATATAGCCTGCGCCTGAGTATCGAGTCTCTGTGCGAAGAGGGGCCATGCACTGTACCAGTCAGACTGTAAGCTGCATTTTGTTTGGTCAGCCGGGTGTCTTGACACGTGCAGAAACCCATCACCGTTCGTTGCTTGAGAGTCTCCAAACCAAACTGAGATTTCCATGCATCCCACCTACACATGGAAATTCGAAGAGATATTGCTGGAATGGAATGCGGGTTCTCTTTCTCTCAAAAGTCGCATCCTGCCCAGGTTGGCAAGAGCCTAGGCTTGGGGGAGCCCAGAGTATGGGGTGTGGGGGGGGGGGGGAGGAAAAACTGCTGGAGTCTAACCAACTACAAACCACATTGAGAGTGCCGTCTGGCAAGCCTTCCCGCTGCTTGTCCAGCTAGGACCGCCCTACCCTGGCTTGCAGGGTTAAATTAACAGGGGCTGAGTGGGATGACTGGTCTGCCCTTCCAGGTCCTGCCGGTGAGCCAGGCTGAGCTGCCTTGACAAACAGGAACTGGAAGGGAATTGCAAGTACGTTTCTGGTCACTGAATCTCAGCAGAAGAAAAATACCTGAGGCAGAACTGTGAGCATTCGCAGAAGCGATCTGGGACCCAAGATAACAACCCATTTGACGCACAAACTGGAATTCAAGTAATACGGTAGCTTTGGCTTTCAAAAGCGTTCAGCACAGTGAGCAGCTAAACAGCACAGACAGAAGGAATTTGCTCTCACCGGGGAGGTTTATTGAGGTCAAGCCGCGGTTCAGATCAGGATTTTTCTTTAAATAGAATTGGAATCGAAGGCTTTGCGCTCAAGTAATAATATATAATGATCGTTGCACTTGACACAGCGCCTTATCACGTCTTCGAGACGTCTCAGAGCGCTTCACAGGATACACTGTAAAGTGAATCGACTGTACCTTTTGTGGGCGAAACGGTGATTAACGCACTGGCAACCACTTGGGGAGTTTTTAGGGACACAGGAATGGGAGGAGGCCATTCAGCCCCTCGAGCCTGTCCCCCCATTCTATAAGAAGATGGAGGTTGGCTTGCAACTCAACTCCAATTAAGGCCGAGGCTGCAGCGAGCGCCTCAGTGCTGCCGCCACCAGGCGTCCGGCGGTACTGCAGCACAGCCCCACAATCCCAGAGAGTGGTTAAGGATTCCATTTTGTTTGCTCACAGTTCCATTCAAGTCGACCCCCAACCCCACCCCCCAAAAAAAACACGACAACAACAACTTTACATCCACACAGCGCCTTTCACAGGGGGAGATGTCCCGCCCCCGCCCCCCCCCCCCCCACAAGGCACAGGACGGTCCAGGGTTCGCACCCGAGCTGGACTAACGCAGTCTCGCACCAACCCATATCTCACTCTCTCGCTCACACCACACACCACACACACACACACACGGTTTACCCCAGCGACTCAGTTCAGGTGCGCGCTTTGCAACACAGGACGACATTGCCTGAGCAAGACGCAGAGTAATTTGTTGCCAGGGCGACCACACAGCCACCGCATCTCATCTGCCCAGACGTGCGGAGGGAATCTGAGGCATCTCAAAGACGTGACAAGGCTCTGTATCAAATGCAAGGATTATTATTATTGTTGTTGTTACGCTGCGGGAGAATAAAGGGCAAGTCCCGATGAACTATTGGATGTTTAGCCGCCAGAAAGCAGAGACAGGCAGACGTTTCCTTCCTTTCGCTAAAGGAACCGCCCCGCTCGAGCGACATGAAATCATTCTCTTTTTTTTTTAAAACTCTCCGGTTGATTATTAAGCTCGTGTCAAGCTGTGGCTCTCTCCTGGGGCTCTCACTGATTGTTCCAGTCACGAGGGCAGTGAGTCGAGGAGGAAGACGAGAAGCCTTGAACACTCGAGCCACGTCCTGAACCAACAAAGCCCGAGCTGACAGCTTCTTTAACAACCCGTGCCCATTGAGCCGAGTTCAAAACGCCAATTTAGAATATTGCTCAATCATCCACTTTACTTCTCCTTTAAATAATAGCTGTCAAGTCAGAACAAACTGCTTACACAAGTTTCTAAAAGAACCCACAGAATAAGAGGGCATGAGGGACAAGCAGGAGGCAGGAGCCAGTTGAGTGGAGGCAACGGGTAGTTGGTTGGGGGGGGCGGGGGGTGTGTGTGTGTGAGCACGTCGGAGAGGTAGGTAGGGAGGTGCCAGGGCGGGATGGGATTTGAAGAGGAGTGAGAGGATCTTGAAATCGATCCATTCAGAGATAGGGAGCCAGTGGAGCCTGGCGAGGGCTGGGGTGGTGGGTGGACGGAGTTTGGTGGGGGTGAGGAGAATCACACAGCACAGGAGGAGGACATTCGGCCCATCGTGCCCGTGCCCAGCTGTTTGATCGAGCTACCGACTGGAATAATGTCTGTATGTATTTTGGAACACGACATGTGCAAGCGACTGCCAGGATGGTGGAAGGCGAGATGACCTTGGTCATCTTTCGTCCAGTAAATTCTTATGTTCTTAAGATCCAGCTTTCTCCATTTGGACACCTCTGTCAAGCATTCCTACTGATATTCATTAGCTAGCAGAATTCCAGCAACGCCCTCAATGGAAGGCCCATTATTTAAGTCAAATATTTACCAGAAAACCTAAACAGAAAGCCCCGCCAGGCCGCAGAGACATGCGATTGATGGCGTTCACCATGATTTGTTATAATTCTGCAGCAAAGAGAAAGTTAAACAAGGATGATCTCACATCCAACTGGAACATCTGCAACACATCGCAAATACAATGTCCTTCCGACTGCACATGAACACATGGCCCGGGTTCACGTGTCAAATGCTCTATCTCCCTTTGCATTTGCTCAAGGTTTGCAGAAGCTGCACAATGCACTGGCTCCCGATCACCCGACACATCGATTTTGAGATCCTGACACTCGTCTTCAAATCCCTTCATGCCCTGGCTCCTCCCTACCTCTCCGACCTGCTTACTCCCTAACCCACTACCTCCGCTCGCTTGGCTCCAGCCTCCTGCTTGTCCCTTTTGCCCTCAGTTTCAGCCGCTAGGCCCCGAAACTCAATGCCTCCGCCTTCCCCACTTCAGGCCGTGCCTGAAGACCTTCCTCTTTGACCATGCTTACGGTCACCTCTCTCCCTGATTTGGTGTCGTGCTTTGCAACTGTCAAGCATCTGGGACGCTACCCAGTGTGAGGGGCGCTGTGTTATTGTACAGCAGGAGCGGGATGATCTACAAAGAGAGGGTGTTTCTGCTCCTGATCGCTATCTTACAATCAATCCCCTGGTCTGGAAAATGTATGCAAGTGAACATTGGGTTTCCAGTACTTCACTGACACTCGCTGCGCACACAAACAATGGCCACTTTGGTGAGTAATGGACTGAAGGTCACCTTCGGTGTACAGTCACATTTCCTGCCAGTCACAGAGCAACCACAAATCTCTACCCAGACGATGCCAGGAGGCATATATCCATATGCCTTTCAGAACGGCCAAGCCAGTGTGGGTTTTAAATTTTTTTTTTTTATATATTCGGTATCGATTTCCAGCCCAGCTAAATGCAAACACCCGGGGGCTCCAGTCACAGCACACCGGCAGAAATAAATTAGGAAGAGATTAAACTGCAACTTTCCTCTCAATGGCTCAACCCAGAAGCTTCAGGGATTGAATCTCCACCCAGCCCCGGCCCTCCCTCCATCAGCAATCGGGCCTTCAGCCTCTCTGCCCGTCCATCCACATCCTGGAACTTCATCCCACAGTCCCTCCACCTCATCCTCTCCCTCAGCTCCTTCAAGGCCCGTCTCAAGACCCTCCTCTTTGACCGCGCCTGCGGTCATCCTCCTAACTCCCCGTCCTCCACCTCTCCTGATCCCAAATCCAGTTCAGGCCCAAATCCCCGACGTCCAGCACCTTGGGACGTCCTCCCGACGTGAAAGGCACTGCGTAAATGTAATGCGTTGTTGTGTAGCTCTCACCTTTTGTTAAAAATGGAACGAGAATGTGTGAATCATCTGACCCGGTGCCGCGTAGAAACCACAGCTCAGCACTTCGCCGGTTAGCCCAGACTCAAACAACTTTTCCACTCGCCAGTTCGCTAATTCTCAATGTTCCCATTTACTGTTGATCTCAGCTGCCAGAACGGTAATTAGAACGCTCGGCTAAACTGTAAGTAAATCGATTGAAATAGAAAAGATTCGCTAAGGACTTCGCAAAGCAGAAGAGGTCTGCTTTAAATAGCATCACCTCGTGATACCTTGGGGGTCACAGGCAGGAAAGCAGGCAAAGTTTGTACACAATGCAAAACATTGGATTACTCTGCGACTGTGTACTGAAGGTGACTGAGTTACCAGGGCTAACCAGTTCTAGCCAGGCTCCACTGGCTCCGTCGCCAAACGGGTCCATTTCAAGATACTCACGCTCATTTTCAAATCCCTGGCACCTCCCGACCTCTCAGACCTCCTTATTCCCCAACCCACTCCCCGCTGCCTCCGCTGGTCTGGCTCCGGCCCCCTGCTTGTCCCTCGTGCCCTCCGCTCTAACATAGGTGGACGCTAAATGCATCAGTAAGAAGTCTACACAAAAAACGAAAGAGTCTGGCCCATTGAACACTTAAGGAGCTTTCCTCAAATCCTGTGGCTCACAAGCGCAACAGAACATTTCTAGCAGTTTTTCACTGGCCGTCAAGACACTCGCTTGCTGAGCCCCGAACAGCAGGAGAAAGATTTCGCCCGGAGGCGAGGGCGAGGAGAATGGGCCGTGTGGATAGGAGAGAGGCTCGAGTGATGTAGGGGTAAGTTGGATAGCGCAGCAGAGATTCAAGGCTGCAGCTGCATCCTTGGGGGTCAGGTTTGCCGATGGTAAGAGGAGAGGGGAGGACTGAAGATAGTCTGTCACTCTTCCAACTACCCACGCTTATGGCTCGAGTGTAATTTCCTGTTTAACCCCTTGGGAACTCCAGCAGCATTGCACACACCCGTCAGATTAACTGTTCGACTCTTCAGCGGTTTGGCAACGACGCAACCGAGAAAAGCAAAAACTATCGAGACAAACAGATGTCGAAAGCAAATGAGCGAGGGTTGTAAGGATGCGTCAGCCTGGCTCAGTCGCTAGCGCTCTCGCCTCTGAATCGGAAGGTTGTGGGTTCAAGCCCCCCACGTCAGGACTCGGAATCACAGTCATTAGCTGATGCTCCAACGCGGAGCTGGAGGGGTTATGTTGCATTGTCGAAGGTGCCGTCCTTCGGATGAGACATTAAACCGACGTCCGGTCTAGGCTTTGAGACATCTCGACAGCGTGAAAAGGCGCTATATCAAATGCGAGGATTATTATTGTTATAGAGAGAGTCCCAGATCGAAGCGGCTAATTTTAATGGGAGCGGTTTGTAAAAATATTTTAGAGTTTAGGATCTCAGTCTCTTAGCTCTCAGCACATTGAGGTCGGTGGCTGTGGCACGCTCACGTTTGCTGTGGATTGGATTCTGCCAATCCCCGCCTGGTGTTATTGTCTGCTCTCTCTTGATAGCTGAACAGAGCACTTCACTGGCGGCTGATTAACTCGCCCGCTTCTGCTGTGTACCGTTGCTATAACGACGCCCCCGAACTACAGCAGAGAAGGGAGTCAACATCCCTCTGCAGTAGCAGTGAGTGCTTATAAATGAGATTAAGCTGTTGCAGTCACTGTCCTGATCTATAAACTTCAGGAAGGCTACACAAGCAGCATGTTTAACAAGCGGGTTCCTACTTACTGCCAGGCAAACAGAGGCGTGTGCGCGGAGTAAGGAAACTTGCTACGGTTTCGCCCTGACCAGCCCGGGAACCGAACCCGGGTCCTCTCGCTCGTGAGGCCAGGGCACGAACCACTACCCTGCAGAACTCCATAGATATTCTGTGAAGCGCTTGGAGACGTCATAAGGCGCTGTATCAAATGAAAGGATTATTATAATGAAACAGTAAAAAAACTTCAGTGTTAGGGGCGAGGGTTATCTTGCGTTGACATTACCTGAGGAGCAGCCGGGACAAACGTACCTTGTCAAAGTGATTGAAAGATGCTCGAAACTCGTTGAGTTGTTCCTGGCTGATGCCCTTGGCATCGCGGGTGAGGATTTGGTTCTCCACTTCGTTAATGGTCCGAGCAATGGTCGTAAGCAGCTGTTCCCAGCCGACTCGGATGTGCTGCGTTTAAAAAAAAAAAGTTACGCGGTTAAAACGACATTTGATTTGGCCGGGTCGTGGGGGTAGGAAGGAAACGACCGAGGATTGAAGACTTAACAGCCAAACAATCCAGTGCGCTCCTGTCATAATAGCCCTCGAAAGATTCATTTGTTTATTTTAATCTTAAAGTGGGCGAAAGCTGGGATGCCTCAAACGGCAGAGTCCTGTAGCGTAGTGGCTGGAGCACTCGCTTCCCGAGCGAGAGGACCCGGGTTCCTGGGCAGGGCGAAACCTTACACGCCTCTGTTCACCCAGCAGGAAGTAGGAGCCCAGAGAGTCAATTGGCGGATCGCTTTTCCGGGGGTAATAATCCCACGACCGTTTGTGGGGACCCTGCTGTGCGCAATTGGCTGCCGCGTTTCGCCCCTAAAACATACACTTTACAGTTCACATATTCTGTGAAGCGCTTTGAGACGTCTCGAAGACGTGATAAGGCTCTAAATCAAATGCGAGGGCTATTATTGTTATGCTGTAAAGTGGATCGACTATATTTTGTGGGCGAAACACGGCAGGCAGTTGCGCCCAGCAAGTGGCCCACAAATAGTTGTGCATTGAATGAACGCGTTACTATTTTTTTTATGGGTTATAAATCGAGAAAGTCCACAGTACAGCATCTGCCCGTTACTGGAGCACTGGTATGAGGCCACAAACTTACAGGTGCCAACCCTCAGAAATTGGTGCCAAATAGGAGCCCACAACAGCAAAACTCAAACATTCACGCCTCACTGGCAAAAATGTGGGCAAGCGGAGGTTTTGGAAGGGCAACTGCAAGAGCAACCCAAAGTGTGCCGATCGCAAATTACGCACAAGGATGGGAATGTGTGCAATCTGTACCGCAATCTGGATTGCTGACAGATTCTCAGGGAGGGAACACACACACACACACACACACACACACACACGACGGGGGGGGTGGGGGACGACACTGATTGGTTTGCAACTCTAAACTCAACAATAAAATGGTATTAAGAACAATGCGGTTTCACCGAATTTCATGCCTTTCCAGTGGGTTCATCTTATAATTTTGGTCACTAAAGCCACGACTGTTTGTGGGACGCTGCTGTGCGGCAATTGGCTGCCGGGTTTCACCCACAAAATATACTGTCAGTCTACTTTACAGTGTATCCTGTGAAGCGCTTTGAGACGTCTCAACGACGCTATATCAAATGCAAGGATTATTTTTATTATTATTTCAGCATTTGGCCATCTTCAGCTAGGAGCTCACGTCAGTGAAGTAATGAATTGCTGCTACGTCCTCACAGCTGCTCTACCAGGAGTGGGAGAGGAGCATATATAGGAGGCCATTCAGCCCCTCGAGTCCGCTCCACCACTCTACTAGATCTTGGCTGATCTGTACCTCAGCCTGAGATCCAAACTCTACAGAGCAGAACTCTCCCACACTAATTTTACACGTATCCTCCTCACAGACGGGAACCGACTGCGGGCCCATTACCTCCATGGTGTAGTTGGTGTGCTTATTGTCGAAGATGAGGGCCTCCTGGATGAGCTGATGGTCCTGCTCCAGTTTCTCAATGTTGGCCTTGTAGTTGATGATGCTGTTCTCGTATTGCTTCAGCTGGTTCAGCTGATCCTCCAGTGTGCCGTGCATCTCGATTGAGATACGACCGATCTCCTAGGACAACAGCGACCAGCATTAGCAACAACATCCACTTGGGTTTGCACAGCGCCCCCTCACTCACGCAGGGAGCGTCCCAGAGTGCTCGACAGTGGCTGAGCACGACACCGAGCTGTTGGGGGGACAGGGGGGAGGGTAACCGTAGGTACAGTCGAAGACCGACCCCCCCCCCCCCCCACTCCAAGCTCACTCACCTGCATCTTGGTCTGAATCCAGGGCCCAACAACGTTGGCCTGGCTGGCGAACTGCTGCCGCAGGTGTTCATTCGACTGCTGCTTGTTAAACTCGACTTGCAAGGCCTGGTCTCGCGCAGGCACCAGCTGCTGAACCTGTGACACGTGGACAACAAAGACTCTTCGTTAACCGGGCAGAACCCTCCAAACGTTTCCACTGCTCCCGTGCCGTCCTCGCCGGTCTCCCCAGACCTCCACTACCCACAAACTACAACTGTTTCAGAACTCCGCCGCCCGTATTCTCACCCCCACTACATTCCGTCTCCATCGCCCCGGCCCTCGCCAGGCTCCACTGTTTCCCCATCACAGAAGTGATCTATTTCAAGATCCTCTCACTCGTCGACAAATCCCTTCACGCCCTGGCAACTCCCCACTAACTGGTCACTGCACACAAGCAATTAGGATACTGTGATGGTAGAATAATCTATACAGAATTAATAGCTGTCGACATCTCCATTATTGTAGCACGTGACTACCAGGATGGTTGGTGGAAGGCGAACTAGATGGACTAGATAGCAATTCCTATGTTCCTATGACACCCGGTCACTCTCTGCGGTCTCCTACCTTGCCCCACTTATCGTTGATGCTCTGGGGAGTGATGGTTGTGTAGGGGTTCACACCGGACAGCTTGATGTTGTAGGACTGGGCGATTTTTATCATCTCGTTGTGGATGCCCAGTATTGCCTCTCGCTCCTTGTCAGCGTCAGGCAAGGTGGCTTTGAACTGCTCATGGGCTGCAATGAGCCCCTGTAGAGAGGTAGGAAACGGTGCTCTCGTCACAACACAATGCACACAAAATACATAATCACTACACTACACAGTGTATTCTGTGAAGCACTTTGAGATGTCTTGAAGACGTGACAAGGCACTATATCAAATGCAAGGATTATTATTATTATTATCGTCTCATAACATCACATAACTATTTCCTCTGGTGGGTGTGGGGGGAATCCAGAGCAAGGGGGCATCATCTTAAAATTAGAGCCAGGCCATTTAGGAGTGAAAGCAGGAAGTACTTTTTCACACGCACAAAGGTTAGTGGAAATCTGGAACTCTCTCTCCCTCCCCCAAAAGGCTGTGGATTATGGCTGGATCCATTCACATTGTCCAGACTGAGGTGGGTAGATGTTTGTTAGGTCAGGATATCGAGGGATATGGGGTAAGGTGGGTCGTTGGGAATTGAGGTGCAGATCAGCCATGATCTGGTAGAATGGTGGAAGAGGCTTGAGGAGCTGAATGTCCTACATCTGTTGCTATGACCATATTCCTCAACAATAGTTTCGACAGATAATGTCAGTTGATAGCTATCATCTTGCAATAAGAAAAAGACACCATTTACACGTTGAACTCGCTTTTGCACACAGCGAGGTGTTGGGATCTGGAATCATTGCCTGAAAGGCTGGTGGAAGCCGATTCAATAACAGCATTGTAAGAAAGAAGTAAATAATTATTTGGGGAGGACAAGTTTGCAGGGCTATGGGGAGAGAGAGAGAGAGTGGGGTTGATCAGAGCTATGGGGAGAGAGTGGGGTTGATCAGGGCTATGGGGAGCGGGATTGAATTGGAAGCTCTTTTCAAAGAGCCGGCACAGACACGATGGGCCGAATGGCCTCCTTCTGTGCTGTATAATTCTATGATCCTGGCCGGTACCTGGATTTCCTCAGTGGTGTGGACGATGAACATGTCCTGCAGGTCCTCCATGGCTCCCTCCATCCAGTTGTTGAATGGCGCGGCCCTTTTGGCGTACTCCAGGTACAGCTGATCGATCGTCTCCTGCAGCTTTTCGGTCCTCTGAGAGACAGATTGAAACCAATTTCAGAAACGCACTGCCCTCAGAGGGGACTCCAAACAAAACTATGATGATTCACGATTCATTATCCTCGATAAATTGTTGTTGTTGTTGATGATTCACCAAAGCACAACAACAACAATTTACATATTGCACAGCGCCTTTCATGTTGGAGGGACGTCCCAAGGCACTGGACTGTTACGGAGGGTAGGGGGTAGGAGGGTGACTAAAGGCGTGGTCGAAGAGGAGGCTCTTGAGACGGGCCTTGATGAAGGCAAAGCAGGGGGCGAGGCAAAGGGACTGTGGGATGGAGTTCCAAAGGGTGGGGTAGGAGAGGCTGAAGGCCCAAACGGTGGGACAGGACCGGAGGCCGCGCTTTTAGCCACTACGCCCCGACGTTTCAGAACTCCCTCAATCTCCCGCCTTGCCCCCCCTCCTTTGATTACGACTGACGACGTCCCCAATCCGGCCGCGCTTGCGGTCACCTCCTCCCTCCCATCGGCCCGGCGTCAGAATTCACCACGGTGAAGAGTCCCGCGGCGCTGAAGGGAGCTACGTAAATGCAAGTTGAGTCCTCACCTCCAGCGCTTCCCTCCTGTTCTGTGTTAGAGCGCCCAGAGTGTCCCAGTGGTCGCAAATGGTCTGGCAGCGCGCATTGACGTTGGGGGAGTCGTAGTAATCCAGATCGCTGTAGAAGAGGAGGAAGAAACGGGCGAGGTTAAAAGTTGCGCCACTGAAAAGCCTGCGGCCCGAGACCATTTCCCTTCCACAATAGCTTGTACAGATGACGTAACTGGGCAGCTATCATCCCGCAATAAAAACGAGGACACCATGCATGGGTCGTCTGCTTATTACGGAATGCTAATCATGTTTGTGAATTTATCTGACGGCGGGGAAAAGGATCCTGACTCAATGGCATCAGTTATGAAAGCTGTGCGCCGCCACTGAATGGCCGCATGGTTTGCCCAAACAATCGCGTTATTGTACATACTTGAGTTCTTGTGCAATGGCAGCGATCTGCTCCACCCGGTCTTGGTGTGCTGCCAGGTCGCTCTCAAACGCCTCATGTTTCTTCAGCAAGGCCTTGATGTCAGCCAGAGTGGCCGTCTCGTAGTCTTTCTGCGTCAACATGGCCTCTTTACCTGAACGGAGCAAAGGATTTACTTGCAGCGCATCTTAATAATAATCATCCTTGCATTTGATACAGCGCCTGATCTTCGTGCTCCTCATGTCTTCGGGAAGACTCAACGCACTTCAGAGTACACTGTAAAACGGAATGACTATTTTGTGGGTGAATCGCGGCAGCTATTTGCGCGCAGCAGTGCCCCACAAACAGTCGTGGGTTGAGTGACAAATTGTTATTATTTTTCTTTTACTTTTTTTGCTTTAAGGGCTTATTACCCACAGAAAGCGATTCGCTAATCGACTAACAACCGGGTTTCCTACTATGTAAACAGAGGTGCGAGTGCGGAGTAAGGAAACTTGGCGAACGTTTCGCCCCGACCCGCCCAGGAATCGAACCCAGGTCCTCTCGCTTGGGACTCTTAACCCCTGTAGCCTGTGCATTCAGGAGCAAAAGAACAAGCACACCCTGTCCAGCACAATGGATCACTAATACATAGCTGCACGGCATGAGCAGAGAACATCAGAATTTAGTGGCACAGTGAGTGGGGGAGTGGGACTAGTTGGTGACTCTTTCAAAGAGCCGGCACAGGCACAATGGGCCGAATGGCCTTCTTCTGTTCTGTAGGATTCTATGATAATATTCTTGTGAAGCCATACAGTCAGTCGGCATATAGCAAGAGTCGAGGTGGAATGGCTGTTCTAAGTAATATATGAAAGCTCAATTCGTAAAGTGCTCGGCAAGTGCTAATAACCGTAAGCAAGTGTACGAGTATGGTAGAAAATTTAGCTTGTTAACTGATCATGAATTGATAAACAAACTTCAAATGAAGCTACTTTGCAAACATTTAAATTGATTGCATAGGGCAGTGTAAGGCCAGGCCCAGATACGATGGGCTGAATGGCCTCCTTTGTGTTGTGAGATTCGATGCATTTGTTGGGGACTGGAAAGGCTGAATATTTTCGCACTTCACCGCAATATAATGGAGACAGAGATTTAGCAAATACCGAACAGCTGCACCACAACGAAGCAGTTTAATAACCTTGCATTTGCATAGCTTCTGCAGCACACCAAGGCTTCCGACTTGCAAACTAACGTACATTATTTCTCATTGAAAGCCACTTCAGAGACCCAGGAGGATGTTAAAGGGGAAGCTCGGAGTCTGTTTCCTTAAAATGCCCAACTTTGAGGAAGTCAGATTCTTGAAATGGACGTTTGGCAATTACCATCATTCTCATAATCAACTCCTGATCAAGAAAACGTCTAATAAAAACAGCGGGAACCAAGAAGTGAAACCACAAGTTGAAACATTTTACTGAGTTTACATCCTGTTGTGGGAAGAACTACATGTCAGTTGCTTGGGAAAGGGAAACAAACCTCTCCACTGAATTAGTATCGGAATCGAGCGCTCTGGGACACTACCCCGCGTGAAGGGCACTATATAAAAACAAGTTGTTGTTGTATTCCTATGTAACGCTCCAAGTCTAACACTCTCCGAAATCAGGTAAGCAGGAAGCGTCCCTCCAGGGAGAGAGAGAGTGCACATTCCATTGCAATAACTGATCTCTGGGGTTTCCAGGTGTAGGTGGTATGCGTGGAATTCTCAAAGTTGGGTTTGCAGACTCTTAAGCAACGGTGATGGTTCCCGTGTGTGCCAGGCACCCGGCTGAGGATATACCGTGAAGAGAATTGATCGATACGAATGAGAAGGTGATTTCACTGCAAAGAGCGACATTACCTTTGGTCCACTCCTCGTGTATGGTGGCCTTCTGCCTGAATTTCTCTGCCAAGTGGTCCAGTCTTTCCAGTCTCCTTATCTCGTTGAGCAGCCACTCCTCGTAGCCCTTCTCGGCCTGCTCCAAGCCTTGCCACGCATTGTTGATGTCCTGCAACACAAAACCACAAGCTGCAACACTCCGCAGAAACACAATCAGCAAGACCTTGGCCTTTGTCAGTCCCAGATTCCCACTACCGTTTGAGTGAAGAAATGAGTGCCGCAGGTCAGCCAGATTCTGTATCTCTGAGAGACGCACATTCCAGCAGAGTTCATTAGGCAATGATGTTCCTTTGCTCAGCCAGGACCCCACCCCACGTGAAGGGCACTATATGAATGCAAGCTGCTGCTGTTGTCTCTGACACATACGGAAACCCATCACCGTTGCTTAAGACTCTCCAAACCAAGCTGAGAATTCTATGCCCCCNACCTACACATGGAAATCCCAGAGATTGATTCTGGGAATGGAATGCTCTCTCTCTCTCTCTCTCTTCCTGGAGGGAGGCATCCTGCTTATCTAATTCCGGAAAGTATTAGGCGCAGGTTGGCAAGAGCCAAGGCTTGGGGGGAGCCCAGAGTATGCATTGGGGTAACTGCTGTAGTCTAACCAGTTAAAACCACAAACCACATAGCTTACCATTGAGAGAGAGAGAGCGCTCTGGCAAACTTTCCCGTTGCTTGTCCAGCTAGGACCACCCACTCCGTTAGTTAGTTAGTTAGTTAGTTAGGGCTTTTGCTGCAGGGCTAACAGGAGCTGAGGGGGAGAATTCACCGGCCCCAGTGACTGGTCAAGGGATCGTGATCAGGAGTGCAAATCCTAGCGAGTGAGCCCCCTACCAAGTCCTCTCACCCCCACCTTATTCTTGAACCCCTATTGAGATTAGTGAGGTCCCAGGTTTGGGTTATCAGACTGCCATCCTAGGTAGACTAACTGTGTTAAAACAGAAGGATATTGTTTCTCTAGAAACTAGTCTAGTAAACTGTGGTCACTCGCTGAGCCCTAATAGACGTGCCTTGATGAGGGGGTGGGGGGGGGAGGGGGGAGAAAGCTTTGGCATTTTTGAACCAAAATGTAATTTAGACATTTAAAAGGTGAGGTTGTGTTTCAAAAAAAAAAAGTGAGCTGCTGAAATAACTGACATCACCTTGCTATGTTTGTATAGTGTGTCAACACTCAGATCTTTGTCTCTGGGATGGTTCTCCCCTGGAATCCCCTCAATACTGCTTTTATACTGGGAGAAAGTTGGCAGCCCGGACGGAACTTTCGCTGTGTAGCTAAACTGCGTGGCAGGGAGTTTTATTTACTCTGGGCGTCAGCCTTGAAATATTGCTGTTACAGTAGCAACTCTCTTTTAGGATTCTGACGCCTGTTAAAAGGTGTCAACGTTCATAACTTTTGCTTTAATTGCGGTAAGCTTCCATTTGATTTGGGAGCACCAACATTTTTTTTATATAGCTTATAAACGAGCGCTGGTAATTGCCGGAGCTATGAGCGGGGAGGCAAGGCTGTGTGGAAATAACAAGCATTGCTGAACTCTGCATTCCTCAGGGAATGATGTATGAAACTTCCTGCCTGGCAGCTCCTCCAGAATGGTTTCCTTGATGTAATCTGCACTGGCTGTTTCAACGAGAAGCTTTTTATACAAAGATACCAATCCTTACCGTTAGGCCATTTGGATGGAATCTCAGGCATTCAATGCTGATTTGGGACCGTCTTAATCTGCAAATTCCATTGGGCCGTGATCGAATAGAATGGCGGAACAGGCTCAAGGGGCTGAATGGCCTTCCCCTGCTCCTACATCAGCCTGCTAATCTGGAACTCTCTCCCTCAAAAGGCTGTGGATTATGACTGGATCCATTCACATTTTCAAGAGGGAAGTAGATAGACGTTTGTTAGGTCGGGGTATTAAAAGATACGGGGCAAAGGCAGGAAACTGGGCTTGAGGTACAGATCAAGCCTGTTCTGCCCTTTTAAAAGATCATGGCTGAAGGGCTAAATAAATATCCTACACCTGAGAACAGTCGGGGTTACCTCAGAGAAGTCACTTCATAGTATAATCTTACATGGCCATAGTAGGGGTTTGGTGTGCGCTTGTGGACGTGTGGTACAGCAGAGGCTAAAAAGGACACTGAGTTTACACAGTACAAATAACTGCTGAGCAGTGTTAAACGTTGGGAGAGGTAAATATTTGGTTCCTGCAATAACTGGTGGGTAAAGCCATAGAGTGGAAGGGTCCCGGCTTTCACAATCGATCTGTGCAAGTCAACAGAGGTGCAACGACTAGATTCAGCGCTCCTGGGTTAGGCAGGAAAGTAGTTCGTTTCTGTTTAACAACAAATTGCATTTACACAGCGCCTTTCACATCAGGAGGACGTCCATGGTGCTGGACAGTCAAGGATTTGCACCCGAGCTGGGGGTTGGGATCAGGAGGGGTGGAGGCGATCGAAGCATGACCGAAGAGGAGGGTCTTGAGACAGGCCTTGAAAGAGGCAGCGGAGGGAGCGAGGCAAAAGGGACTGTGGGATGGAGTGCTACCCACTGCCTTAGCTCGACTGGCTCTGGCCTCCTGCATGTCCCTCGTGCCCTCCGTTGCCCCCGCCTTTCCCATCTTTAGGATGCACCTGAAGACCTTTCTCCTCGACCGTGCCTACGGTCATCCCCACCCCCGTCGAACGCTCTGGGACGTAACCTGCGCGAGGGGCGCTGTGTAAATGCAAGTTGTTGCTGCTGCTGTTGAGGATGCAGTCGTTCGAGCTGCGGTGAGCGGAATGGCACTTACGGAGACCATTTTGCCTTCCGATGGCATGAACGCGGGCCGGTTGCTGAGCCGCAGTTTGGTCTGCAGGGTGTTGAAGTTGATCTCGAGCTGACACTTCTCCTGGACTTTGGGAGGCTTGTGCACCCGGCGGTAATCGCGGAAGTCTTCCAGTTTCTGCTGCATGGCCTGCATGGTCTTCTCGGGCTCCCGGTTCTCCAGCCAGGGCTTGGTTTGACGGATCCACTCCAGCAGCTACAAACCAAACCACAAACACAAGCTGCCAGTGAGCAGAGCCGAAGCCAGGTATGAATGCAATAACTACTCGGCTGTCGCAACAGGAATAACATAACGGTTGACCTCAATTGGTTCTGTTAAACTCCTGCTTTATGGAGATGGGTTTTAATACAAAAATAATCAGCAAATTACACTCGTCGTTTTAGCTCTAGCGTTAAGGTAAATAAATAATAATCCTTGCACTTGATACAGCACCTTATCACTTTGTCTCAAAGCGCTTCACAGAATACACTGTGAAGTGTAGGGACTATACACGTTGTGGGCGAACGCGGCAGCCAATTGCGCACAGCAGCGTCCCACAAACAGTCGTAGATTGAAATGACCAAATTATTATTAATAATTTATTTTAAAAGGGATTGTTACCCCCGGAAGAGCGATTCGCCAATCGACTAACAAGCAGGTTACCACTTATTGCTCGGTAAACTGAGGCACGTAGAATGAGGAAACTTGCCTAATCAAACCCGGGTCCTCTCGCTTGCGAGGCGAGCGTGCTAAACCACTACGCTTACAGGACTCTGCACTTGATGTGTGAATCTTTCCAAGGCTAACACTTCAGCAGTTGTTACAGGCAGTATACTGCCGTGCCTGGCTCTCACTGAAGTGTTCAGGATACACTCTACACAGAAAATGCATTGAAACTTGACTCGTCGTAAACAATGCAATACAAAAGTCTATTTAAAAAGACAGAGGCTCACAAGCTAGAAAGAGATTTAAGGGGGAATAAATAAATCTACAATATAGACAACTCGGCAGTATTTTTTCCTCAAAGCAAAACCAATGTGAATATCAGAAAAAGTTTTTTTTAAAACTGTTTCCAGCGCCTTGGGACGTCTTCCCAACCCAAAATGTAGTATTGTATCGCATGGGTGAACACTACTATGCTCAACTGACAGTCGCGTTTCACCCCCAAAATACACAGTCAATCCACTTTACAGTTTATCCCGCGAAGGGCTTTGAGATGTCTTGAAGACTATATCAAATTCAAGGATTGTTATCATTCTGTCATTTTCTCAAATTTCTGGTTTAGATAAAATGTGGTGGTGGTGGAGGGGCGTAAAGGAAAGGAAGAGAGAAATGAGCAACGCACATTCCTGAATTTAGTCAGTGTCCGCACACACTTTCCAGCTGCTCCTGGATAGTAGAATTCCAGATTAACTGCTTCCCCCAAATTGACTATCCAAGGGCAATCCAAAATTGAGTCTGGTTGACATCAGCTAACTCAGCAATCAAGAGATTGACCCACAAGCGTCCTGGCCAGAACAGCCCATTTCCAAATTCGGCCATTGCCTTCATAGAGTATTACAGCACAGAAGGAGGCCATTTGGCCCACCGTGCCTGGGCCAGCTCTTTGAAAGACCTACCAACTAGTGCCCACTTCCCTGCTCTTACCCCATAGCCCCATAAATTTTTCCTTTTCAAGTATCTGTCCAATTCTCTTTTGAAAGCTACTATTGAATCTGCTTCCACCAGCCTTTCAGGCAGTGCGTTTCAGACCGTAACAACTCTCTGGCCTTATGATGGATGCAGCCCCTCACAAAACAGCCAGGAAGTCATCCAACTCCGTAGTGTATGTAACTTAAAGGACAGTTTCCTGTTGGCTAAATACTCCTTTTAAAGATCATCCAAAACGGACGAGACAGAGTTCAATGTTTGAGAATGTTATGCATCAGGGATGTGTATAAATCCTCCTCAACTTAACAAATGAGCTTCAATCTGTTCGCCTTTAGTGTCTGGAGTTTTAAAATAACTGTAAAATAATGCCAATTTCACCCACAAAACACATACACACCAATTACAGGGTTCTAAGAGACGTCTCGACGACGTGATAAGGCGGTGTATTAAATGCGAGGACTATTATTGTTAGATTATAAATATATCTCGTAGCCATAAATAGTCAATCCACGTTACAGTATACTTTGTGAAGTGCTTCGAGACGTCTCAGCGATGTGAAAAGGCGCTGTATCAAACGCAAGGATTATTATTATCGTTATTAACCAATGGTTGCTGCAAAAAATTATTCTGCCAGCGGAGTATAAAAACTACATACGTCACTGGCTAGCTTCTCATAGTCTTCCATCAGGTGTTCATTCTCCTGATTCACTGCCAGGACTTTACAGATCCTATTGGCAGCGGTTTCAGCCTGTTGGAAATAGAAACAGCATTAGAGCAAGGATAAAGGGAAGACACAAGCATGGTGGGGCTGGGGTATATAACAGGAATTTTAAAAGGGGTGGGGAGGAGGGGAGACTTGCCTACAAGCGATAAAACATCATTAATATGCTTCATACTGTAGATAAGGGGCTAAAGCTAGAAGTCGGAGCAGACACTCACTTGACTCAATGGCATTCTGCTTCTTTGTGTAACGCAATATTGCACCACTTTACAAACTATTACAATTCACCAACCCCCACCCGCCCAAAAAAGGAAAAATCCCTTCAATTTTTTGTGTCGGGGGTAAATCCTATCATGTACCCTCCTCCCCCGATCGCTGGAGCTACGTTAACAGGACTACCCAACATAGCACTCGCAGAGAACTAATCTCAGCAAGTCGGAAGGTAAGCCAAATATGTGGCACACAAATGGGGACGCCAAGCACTCTTGTATCTGAAGGCCTGATTGTCAGACTGCACGGTAATCGAGAGCCAATCCAACCCGGTGGTTCTGAGCCACACAGGTTTACTGTAGTGAGCAGCAGGGAGGAAATAGATGGCAACTGCACTATACAATCATTTTTTTGGCAAGTCAAAGCGCCTTCAACTAACCGTCAGGTGCTCAACGGCTCAGGTAGATGGGGATTATAGGGAGCCCTGCTCATTAGCAATGGCTGGGAGCCTTACCTGTGAAGCAGGGGGAGAGGGTCGAGGCTGCCGAGGACCGGATGCCCTATTTGAGAAATATCCGCCGGTTCGCATAAGCAATATGGGTTTTGGGTTTCCCCTTCCAGAAACATAACATTTACGGGTTACGAGGGGAGCAGGTGGGCCGAATGCGGCCCGTGGGCCGCCAGTTGGACCACCCTGCCGTAAATGCAACACTTTTGCAGCTGAGGCGACAAAAATCAGATCCACTACATGAGTCAGTCATACACAGCAGATGCACTGTACAAGAGTCGCAGCCGTTCACAGAGAGCCGACAGAAAGCAGGCAAAGACACCTATAGCTTAAAAATGAATCTTAAAAAGCATTAGCATTCCACAGCCAGTTAACAGAAGCCAGTTTACAGACAATCCAGAGCAGCTTTAGCTTGTCAAACGCAGCAGCAAAAAAAAAAAAAAAAAGAGTTTGGACAGCAAAAGGGGGCGAGAGTTGTGACAGGCTTACACAAAAAGCAATGGGTCACAGGGACAGGAGAAACCGAAGCTGAACAATAATAAAAAAAATACAGGTGGTCAACTTCTGACAGCTGTAATCGGGTAGCTTCATGTCACTGTGACGTTTAGTCCAGTACAAGGGAACAGTTTCACTAAAAACAGGGAGAATTCAGGGCAGATTTTAATTTTCACAACTTTACTGTCAGCATGTTTTCAGACCTGCAGCCACATTGCCTGTTTTTAATGATTGGTGGTGGTGTTACTAATACCAGATTTAGTACTATCACTGGCAGCCCAACAGCACAGCTGTGGTTAGACACTCGTATTTACTGTAACTATATAAGCGAATGTGGACCTAACGACTTAAAACAAAAGATGTAGCTTTGTCAGACATCATATCATGCAAGATCAGAGGCAAGCGCAAAGGTTTACAAAACTGCCAGACAAGTTTGCTAATAAGAGACAGTCACGTGGCATGCAACATATAGACTAATATAGAACTGGGGTCTAAGGTTTTTCCTGTTCTACTCAAGAACAAATGCAGAGCGGAACTTAGATAAGAATTGTGCAGACGGATAGATGCAGAAATGCAGAGAGCTCACCTTTTGAGCACCTGAGAATGCATGGTAATAGCATGAAACATAAGTCATTATAGCCTTTTCATCTGGCCTGAGAGTACCAACAATATCTGTGCAAAGAGAAAGTCAGAGAAAGGTAAGGCTGCGTCATGCCACAAGCAGATCGATTTCCACTGTACAGTGAGAGCACAGGGCGAAGCATCATGCCTAGAACCAGGAACGTAGACTCAGAAGCAACAGCTGAAAGAGAGGAATCAAGTCAACACTGGAAAAAAGGAGCTGCCTGCTTGCTTTATGGTACCTTCTGGGCGCCCGAAAAGGCATGGTAGAAACACGACACATAGGTCATAATTGCTTTCTCATCAGGACGGGCAGTGCCGACAATGTCTGTGGGTAAAGATTAGGAGAAACTTCCGGTTAATACCTTAAGGCAAATACTGACACTCTTCTGCATACGTCACCGTGCTTTGAAGAGAATAGTTACTACGCTTCACAACAACTCCTGCAAAGCACTTTGAGACACTTCGACCACTTAAAAATGACAGAACTCTCAAATACCCCGGACAGTTTTTTAGCAACTAGGCTTAAACCATAATTTGGTGTATTTATGATGAAATATTTCTTTAGTATTTACACAATTGGCTGCAGTATTTTGCCCACAAAATACACAGCCACTACACTTTAGAGTATAACCTGTTAAATGCTTTTGAGATATCTCCACGATTGTGATAGGGCTCTATAATCAAATGTAAGGATTATTATTATTAAGCGACCTGATCAGTTTATTGTAAGATAATGCTGGCCAAGTTTTGTGGATGGCCACGGGGTAAAATCGGGGTAGTGCGACTAGTTGAACAAGCAGTAGTTTGTGTCTTAATCTAAAATGTCCCCATCAATTTCTTGAAGCATTAGGGACAAGGCTGACTTGACCCATATACTTCAAATGTACCAAATAGTCTCTCTCTGCAACTAGAACAGAATAAGCCCGAAATAGAACTACTCTCTTTATTCAACCTTTATTCATAACATTGAATGCAATTTTTTTTTGCAGAAATGTGGAATTTAAAGAATGGGAAAGAAAGGCACTAAAATGGGTCGAGTCATGTTTTAAAACATCTGGAATTTACGACGTGGAAGGGACCACCTAAACAGGCGGTGGAAGCAGATTCGATAGTAGCTTTCAAAGGGAATTGGATAGGTACTTGAAAAAGGAAAAATCTGCAGGGTTTTCTTATGCGGTAAGAACGGGGGAGTGGGACTTCTTTCAAAGAGCCAGCGCAGACACGATGGGCCGAATGGCCTCCTTCTGCGCTGTACGATTGCATGATCTAATTCAAGCTGCAATACTTTGGGGTTAAATATCAAAGGAGAGACCTGTGGAGGCATTAAACTAGAAAGTTCAGTGTGGAGGGAGGGGATGGGTGCAATTACAAGCTGATTGTAACCATTTGCATAGACTGAATGCTTGGCACTAGGACACGAACATTCAGTATGAAAGGCAGCTTCTGTGCATACAATGGCACATGTAATCATAGCCTGTTGAAGCATTTTTCTGTCGTGGCCTGTCATTAGACCAACATCCAGCACTGACCTTTTCTGAAACAAGAGAAGACAGAAGACAACTAATGGGAACACCATAGCGCTAAGCAAATGATCACCTTAAGCAATCCATCATTGCATAAACTTCACACATCTGAAGCAATGCTCCCGTTGTTAGTCTGACCTTTAATTGGTGTGGACTGCACTCAGTACGGCTCAGGATTACAGAAAGACAATCGAGGCCGTGAATCATCTTTCTACACGATTTTATGGGGCAGCTCAGCACCGTATACTTGGCAAGGAAACATCTGCCCCATCATTTCTAATGACAGCTATTTCCTGCCTTTAACAGTATCCAACATCAACGCAAAAATGTAAAGTGTGTCTGAGCCACTTCCTGCTACGGTGTACTAAGACGCCAGGACAGTTTCTTAAGCACGTCCGATAATAGGGCACACGGCAAACTCCGCATTCAAGAAATCCCTAACTAGCCTCTTTTTTTAAAAAAACTGAAAATGACTACATAATGATAATAGTGATCCTTGCATTTGATAATAGCGACTTCACGTCATTGGAGACGTCTCAAAGCGCTTCACAGCATATACCGTTAAGTGATTCGACTGTATATTTTGTGGACGAAACGCACCAGCCATTTGGGAATTGGATAGGTACTTGAAAAGGAAAAAGGGTGGTGGTGGGTGGAGGGGGGAGAACTAGTTGGTAGCTCTTTCAAAGAGCCGGCACACGCACAATGGGCTCTGAAACGCTTCCACTCCATTCCGTCAGCTGCAAACAATCTTCTAGTCAGCCTAGTGAAACTTCGGGAGCCAAGACACAAGCAAGTAACCTTTCGGTGCCAAAGCAATCAGAATGAAATGAAGCATGCAAGTCTAGAGGGAGTGAGCACCTTCTGTTCAACGAACTCACACCAGTGAATAACAATTATAATCCGCGTTGCAAAAACAGCAACAGCTCACTTTTATATACTGCTGTTTACACAGGATAGCCTCAGAGTGCTGTACGGTGGTGGGGTTGGATGCCAAGCCATGGGAGAAGGGGGGATTGAATGGGGGGGGCACGGTCAAAGAGGCAAGTTGCAAGGTGGGATTTAACTAGAGGGGGCGAGGTGGAGGGACCTACGTAGGGGTTAGGGACGACAGTGCCACACAGATCCTTGGGCACATCAAAGTCAGAGAACCCCGCCAATGGATTCTCACTCTGTGCAAGCTGTCTCTCAACTGTCCTATCCAATCAATTCCATTCATTTCAATACCATGGCCCACTTTGATATACAACACCCACCACATTGCCCTCGTGTCTGCTCAGGAATCTCCTTACCATTCTATTAGTCACGCACAGCCTGCCCTTCATTACCACCACAGTAGAACGGAGCTCCACATCTTTGGTCGAGCTCTGAGAGGAAACTCACAGCTGGTTCTGGCAGCTGTCCAGTTTGCATCCCATCAACCTTTTTCTATCTCTCTCGCTTGCTCATTGCTATCTATATGCAACAACCGCTACCTTCGTATCGGTATCCGTCTCTCTCTGAAAACACTCGCAAAGATTTACTGAAGTTGTCTACAATTTCCTCGTATACAAAGCATTTGCTCCCCATGGCCTGGAGTGTGTGGGCCTCTGCTTTTCCTGGGTATCTTATTGTGTGTATCATACACAAAAAACTAAGCTTTAAACCTCAACTTGGGAGTGAAGCCAGAGCAATTCGATGCTGAGAAGCTTCAGGATAGCTTCTGACAGATGCTATTCTGCCGAAGGGTGCTATATAATACTAATAATCCTTGCATTTGATACAGCGCCTTATCACGTCTTTGGGAGATGTATCAAAGCCCTTCACAGAATACACTGTAAAGTGAATTGACTGTATATTTTGTGGGCGAAACGCAGCAGCAAATTCAATGTTAAAGCAAGGGTCTTGCTAAGGAACACTAAGGAAATACTTATTCTAACTCCTAATTTTCCTCAATTTCCAATGGGAGCATTTGGAACAGAAAGTACACCCTCTAGACTTTAGTTCTCTTTAAGCATTCCTTAGCTGGACAAAATGCCAATTGGAATAAACATGCTTAGTGTTTTCACAAGGAGTAAGCAAATGGCCCATTGGCCTGTACAGTGTACTGAATCAGCCAAGTAACATGATACACAGCAAGCTGGTGAAAGACTTTGATTCTATTTCAGTCGTCAAGCAGGCTAGAATTGCTCACCTTCTGCATCCAACATCTTGGGGATATCCAGGTATTTCTCAGCCACTTCAAAGGCATTATTCAGGTTTGTGAGTGGGTCGTCCTGAGGGAGGACACAGCCAGAGAGCAGGTCAACATCAAACAATCAACCGACTGCAACTCACTTCAAACAAACGTTCTTTTTAAAGGATTCGGTGTAGATAAGCCTTTTCCCCAAACACACATCAAATAATAATTCGCTGTAATCAGTTGCCAAAGATACAGAAGCATAGCTTCTCACATCCTTCCTGGCTTTGTCCAAACACCCAATAGCCACAAAGAGACAACCATGTCTACAATCACGAAATATTTGTTCAACCTACCTGAAGAACCTGCAATTCGATCTGCTTACTCCGCAACCCACTACCCGCTGACTGGCTCAGGCCTCCTGCGTGCCCTCCGCTCCATTAACATTGGCCGTGCTTTCAGCCACTTCGCCCGAAACTTTGTCACACTCTTCCCCAATCCCTCTGCAGGCCTTGCCCCCTCCTATCCCATCTTCAGGTTGCGCCAGAAAACCTTCCCCTTCGACCGTGTCTATAGCCACCTCCCCCCGGCACGCAACATGCTCCGCCACTGTTAAGCGCTCTGGGATACTACCCTGTGTGAGGGGCGCTGTGTAAGTGCAAGTTGTTGTTGTAAATGGTCCATACCTTTCTCAGCTTGTCGTAGTCGATGAGTTCTGGTCGATGTCTGTGGATGAGGCGTTGAATGCCAGACCATCTTTCCAGCTGGACGTCAGCATCAAACATTATTCAGCATTATTTGGAACGGGTGTGGGGAGGAAATACAATGAAATGTTTTTTTTAAAAAAAAGCAAATAGCAACTTTTCTGAAGTTATTTTCCTCCTTCCAGTCATTCTTGTTCTAAGGCGAGTATTTTAAACTTATTTTTAAATTTTAAAACATATATATTTAAATATATTTTTCACCCACAAAATACATAGTAAATTCACTTCACAATATATTTTTGTAATATGTTTTATAATACATAATATACTTTACAATATATTCACAATCAGTATTTTAAATTATTTGTAACTATTTTTAATGTCTTAAAACATACCTTTAAAAAATTCACCCACAAAATAGTCATTTACTAATTTAGTATATCGTGCGAAGCACTTTGAGATGTGTTAACAATCTGATAAGGCGCTATGTCAAATGCAAGGATTATTATATTAATGTTAGAGCGCCAGTGTCTCGGAAATTAAAAATTCACAGCTGAAATCTGAACTAAAGTCAACGTGCGTTAGTATGCAGTCTTTGTAAATGAAACAAACCATGTGGGGAAGCACTAAATAATTTATACTATCTCCACTTGTAAAGAAGCCAGGAGAGAGGAGAGAGAGAGAGAGAGAGAGAGAGAGAGAGAGAGAGAGAGAGGCATTGTGTCGGGTGTTATAATGAAATGACTATACAGCTAAAACACCACTGGCTGACTGCAGCCTGGTTCCAGGACACTGATGGTATAACTAGCGACACATCCCGCCAGGACAAGCATTTCAAAACAGTTTGAGATTTGCGGCTGGATTAATACCTGATGTGGAAGTTCTGCACATTGACATTTTTGTATGGCGCTGTCTTCCTCTGGCACCACAGCAGAAGTCCCTCCTTGGCAGAAGTTTCTGAAAAGGTTTGACAAACAGGAAAGTGTCCGTCAGAAAGGTTGCACTAGCAGAAAATGGCTTGAAAACATTCAATTAGGTTTTAAAATTTCTATTAAATTCAAGTCTTAACTATTCCTGTTACAACAACAACTTGTACAGCACCACTCGCACAGGGCAATGCCCCTGAGCTCTTAAATTAGTTACAGAATAAAAAATTATAACTTGGTCACTCAATCCATGACTGTTTGTGGGACGCTGCTGGGCACAATTGGCTGCCCGTTTCGCCCACAAAATACAGTAAATTCACTTTACAGTGTATTCTGTGAAGCGCTTTGAGACGTCTCGGAGACGTGATAACGCACTATAGCAAATGCAAGGATTATTATTATTAATACAGACAAATTCATTTTTACTTCAGTAACCAAAAAGGAATACCTAATCGCAGGCATGTCGAATTACTTCAATAGATTTGTCTTAATCCATAGAAACACAAGTATTCCACATTGGTATAAATATCATACTGAGCTGCATCTCTGTGTAAATGATGCACATTTTCACACGCTCTGACCACAAGGTCTAAGTTGTAATGAATGGCCTCTGAACACAAATAGATTTATAGACAAAGATATACCGTGGTAAATGTCCTTTTCCCAGCTACGAAATAATAGTACCATAACCGCTCATCTGTTCGCATAGATATGCTCAAACCACGTTCACAGTTAACTGTTAGAAATTACAAAACGTCTACAGAAAAGCAATTTAATTTTGGGGAATAATCTCTTCTCAATCTGTCTGCTCTACACTTCCTTCACAAAGCCAAGCAGTGTGTGCATCTCAAGACAAGTTTTTAAAAAAAAAGTTTCAAATATTGGAAGGAGATTCAATAGTAATTTTCAAAAGGACAGGTACTTGAAAAGAAAAAAACATTGCTGTGGGCTATGAGTGGGACTAGTTGGTGGCTCTTTCAAAGAGCCGGCACAGGTACAATGGGCCGAATGGTCTCCTTCTGTGCTAATGATAATATTCTTGTGAAACCACACAGGAAGCTGCAGTCAGCTCACAGCAAGATTCTAGGTGCAATGGCTGTTCTTAGTGCAATGTATGAAAACTCAATTTGTAAAGTCCTCGGCAAGCGATAACAGCCCTAAGCAAGTGATTTGACCACTTAATTAGCCATGAGCTGATAAACAAATTTCAATTACATTAGGCCATTCTGCAACCGTTTAATTTGATTAGATTTTTAATTTAATTTGATTAAGCCTCAATATATACTAATATACTGCCCATTATAAAAAAAAGCCAGTTTTGGAGAGTACTTCAGTGCATTGAAAGGCTCGTGTCTACAGCTTTTAAATGCGAGAAAGACTGCTTCTATACTTGGGAAAGGTGCAGAGGTCAAAATGTGCACAGCCTGATATGATATTCACACTAATTGGGACCAGACTCATTGTGATTATGAAAACAACATGGCGATCAGGTATGTGTTTCTCTCTCTCTACCTGTGTGTATTTCTCTCTAAATCCCCCAGCCCTGTTTACCTAGGAACACAGCAACAGAAGTAGGTCATTCAGGCCCTCGAGCCTTTTCCGCCATCCTTATTAGATCATGGCTGATCTGTACCTCAACTCCCCCATTGTTTGTGGGACACCGCTGTGTGCAATTGGCTACCGAGTCCCTCCCACAAAACAGTCAATTCACTTTATAGTATATTCCGTGAAGCGGTTTGAGACGTCTCCAAGATGTGATAAGGCACTAACTCTGGAACACTCTCCTTCGATCTCGCTGCCTAGCCCCCTCTCTCCCCCTTTTCAAGTACCACCTAAAAACCTTCCTCTTCGACCGTGCTTATGGTCACCTTTTCCCCCCAGCTCAGAGTCAGATTCCACCAGGCGCTCTGAGACGCTATCCTGCGTGGAGGGTGCTAAATAAGTGCAAGTTGTTGTTGTATATCAAATGCGGGGATTATTTTTAACTTGTGTTAACATTACATTCCACATTGAATCACATTGCAGGCAAGTCAAAGTGCAGTTTCTACTGTCGTAGCAAGTGGGACCCAACCTATGAATTCTGGCCATTCAACTTCTACCCTGAAAGACCAACCAACTGAAGGCAGAGCCAATGTGACCATAACAAGCAGGTTTAGCTGTTCAGAGTGAAATCAACCCTCACCTTCAACAGATATATCTTGAATGGCAAAGCGGAGGATGATAGTCCAGATCATCCCAAGAGTCATCTTTGCATTCCCATCGACGATTTCTGAAAGAGAGAGAAAAAAGACGGACGAATTAATCTCACCATTCGCTGTGTGCAATTGGCTGCTGCGTTTCGACCACAAAATATACAGTCGATTCACTTTACAGTATATCCTATGAAGCGTTTGAGACGTCTTAAAGACATGAGAAGGCGATGTATCAAGTACAAGGATTATTATTATTATTTCTGGAAATTTCCTGTGTACTCAGTCTTAATCCTTTGAATCTTTGACATGAAAGCAACTTAAAGCTCAGAAACATTAAAGCCTAACAAACCTAATGGATAGATGTGAACGTTTTGAGCTACCTTAATTCATCATTCATCTGCTAGTGGTTAGAGCACTCGCTTCGCAAGCGAGAGACCTGGTTCGATTCCCGGCAGGGTGAAACCTTGGGCAAGTTTCCTTACTCCACACGTCTGATAATAATCCCTCAAGAAAAAAAAACTAATAAATAATTTGGTCACTCAATCCACGACTGTTTGTGGGACTCTGCAGTGTGCAATTGGCTGCCGCGTTTCACCCACAAAAATAGTCAATTCCTTTACAATATATTCTGCAAAGCGCTTTGAGACATCTAGAAGACGTGAAAAGTGCTATATTATTATTATAAACCCGAGTAAAACTAGATGAACGACAGAGAGTGCAAGGCATATAAATGCAAGTATGCACTTAAAACGGATTATTATTATTATTATGAATAGTTATTTATTATTACTGCTTGTCCCTCATGTTCTCCGTTCTACCAGCATTGGCCACATTTTCAGCCACTAGGCCCCCAAACTCTGGATCACTCTCCGTCAATCCCTCCACCTTGACCCTTCCTTCCCCATCTTCAGGTCGCACCTGAAGACCTTCCTCTTCGACTGTGTCTATGGTCACCAACCCCCCAGCTCATCATCGTGCTCTGCCACCGTTAAGCGCTCTACCCTGCGTGAGGAGTGCTGTACAAATGCAAGTTGTTGTTATTTTTTTTTCATACGGCCTTCAAGACTGGTTTAAGTTAGTCAAATATATTTTTGCCCTGATTGAGGATTCATTACTATGTGTTATTTTGAAAGAACTGGGGAGGAACAGCACCCGAAGGCTGGGGAAACTGAAGAGTTTCAGAATGTGCAGTTGCATTCCGTTCTATCTGGTACATTTCAACATCTTAGAACCACAAACACACTAACCAATACCACATTGCAGCAGGAGATCTCACTGCCTATTTTTATGAAGCGCCCAGCGAGCCACTGGTCTTAGCCAGAAGAAGCAACTACACATTAAACAGCGGAGGCTGAAGCCTGCAGGGACTGTACATGCACAGCCTCATTATTTGAGCATGCTGAGCACCAATCAATCCTCCGCACAGTTCAACACAATGGTAAAGACCCTTCACGTTCCTACATCACACCAGTTCTAGCCAGGCTCCACTAGCCCCCTATCACCGAATGGATCGATTTCAAGTTCCTCACCGAGTCTTCAAATCCCTGGCGTCTGCCTACCTCCCCGACTGTGTAAATGCAAGTTTTTAGTCCGAGTGTTTCTTCTATCAGAAAACTGAATCTGGCAAATAAGGGTTACAAAATCTGTTGTGGCTCTGTGCCACAAGTTAATGGGATGAGGAGAAGAACTAGTTTCTATAAAGTTCCCAACAGAAAAAGAAAACACATCATTTGGCACACCTTTGGGGAGTGAAAGAGGCGTTGTCAAAAGTAAACTCAGAGACTTACAATAGAACACTGCCACAATAGACAGGTGGGGCACGGCTGGGGAGACGGGGCAATGAGGAGAAACACTAACTAAAATATATTCTAGGTGTTTCAGCTTGGGGTGAACTGCAATCACTCTGACCAACATTTACATTGGTAAAGATGTTCCATACTAGAAAGGTGGTGGGGGGCGGGGAAGAGAGAGGATCAAACCCCTTCTAAAAAAAACCACCTCTGACTGTGAATTAGGGCATCTCCTCCTCCCTCAACCCCCACCCCGACCCCCTTCCAGATCAGCCTAATGCCCATTCCGCCTGGTGAACTGCTTTGAGATGTTCTCCCAATGTGAAAGGCTATATGAGCAATTTATAAGCCGTTTTTAATAAAGATTTGAAATTAAAGCTGTTCAGATTCATGGATTTTCTTTAATTTCATACATCTTAAGGCTGAGTGAGGAATTTTGAGCCATTGGGTTTAACAAGTTGGCAATAGCAGCTTCGAGTTGACGTTCAACTGCATGGGTAACTGCATGCGTTTCGCCCACAAAATATACAGTCACTACGATTTGCGGTATATTCTGTGAAGCGCTTTGAGACGTCTTGACGATGTGGTAAAGTGCGACATCAAATGCAGGGGTTCTTATTATTAATGCTGTACCCGCATTCGCCTGAACAGTTTAAATCGCCGGCTCACAGACCAGACTGGAAGGCCACGAAAGACTGCAAAACTGAGCTTTGTTGTGAATAACGGATCCATTGTCCATCAAACAGCTTTCAAACAAGAGTGGATTTATCAGCTGGTTTCTTGGCAACAGTAGTCGCTATCTAATGAATAGGTAAGCTTTGAGTATTCCTATAAAAAACTCACGAGGTCCGAATCCAGTGACCAAACAATGAGAACACATTTCCGGCTCGCCATCAACTCAAGCACAAAGTAACTTCCGACATTCTGATCAAACTATTCAGCCTTTATAGAAACAGGAGGAGGCCATTCAGCCCCTCAACCCTGTTCTGCCATACCATTAGATCTGTACCTCAACTCCGATTACCCACATTTTCCCCTTGATACAAGGAGGCAAATTGGACCAGTGAGGCTCAACGCGGCCAATGAAAGACATTCATTTTTCTGCCAAAGCACAACACGTGCATTTGAACCATTTAATTCATTTTTACGCGGCAGCTGAAAATTTAGTACTTCTTACAGCAGAAGTACCCGTGAAAAATTGGTAACCAAATTACCAACTGTTCAGTAAGGCTTTAATGCAGGAAGAATGTATTTACAACTGTGATGGATCAGTGGCCTGGAGATGTCAAACATAATCTTAGCTTGGAACAATCCATTGATCCTGGGGTGGGAGCGCACATGGATCTCAGCCAAGGCCAGGGAAAGTTTGCGCTTCAAATTAAACTCGCTATGCTCGCCACATGTCCATCCTCACTCTCTCTGAATCACACACACACACAGCACAGTAAGTAAGGCATCAAAAGCCACCAGGGCTTGTCGAATTATACCCTAGTCAGCAACTTCAAAGTGGAAGGGTTAATGGAATAAAAAGGCATATGACAAGTGTCAAGGCCTCCATTTCACATCAAACCGAAGCTGTACGATAATGTATGCTGGACTCAATTTCCTTGAAAGCTAATCGGACTTGCCAGCAAATGTCAAATTGTGACATGGATTATTCCCACCAACCAGTTACTTGATACTTCCCCGGCAGGGTGAAACCTTGGGCAAGTTTCCTTACTCCGCACGCCTAATAATAATCCCTCAAGAAAAAAATAATACTTTGGTCACTTCAATCCACGACTGTTTGTGGGGACGCTGCTGTTCGGAATTGGCTGCCGCGTTTCGCCCACAGATATACAGTATATACTCGATGCAATAAGGCGCTATATCAAAAGCAAGGATTATAAGGATTATATCTTACATCTGAAATAAAACGTTTATGGCTGAGGTTTCTAGAAAATATGCAGGAAATGTTTCTGGCCAACTTAATAGTCCATTAATCATTCATAGAAACCTGGCAAGTAAAATTAATACGCTATGTAGATGCTTTTTCAGGCCCTCCATGCACACAATGAGTATCCTGAAATAAGCATTCAGCAAGCGAAGCCTCAGGTCCAGGTGACTGGAGGTGCCAGAGATGATGCACATACTTCCATGTACATAATAATCCTAGCATTTGATGTAGCACCTTACCACGTCATTGACGTCTCAAAGTGTTTCACAAAATATACTGTAAAATTAATTAACTGTATATCTGGTGGGCATAATGTGGCAGCCAATTGAGCACAGCAGTGTCCAACAAATAGTCGTGGATTGAGCGACCAGATTATTATTTTTAAAAACAATTTGAAGGGATTATTACGCCCGGAAAGCGATCCACCAATCAACCAACAACCAGGTTCCTACTTATTGTTGGTGAACAAAGGTGTGTGTGTACAGAGTAAGGAAACTTGCCTAAGATTTCACCCCGCCCTTGAATTACCTCTCGCTTGCGTGGTGAGTAACCCTAACCAACATGCAACAGGACTCCAGCATGGATATCAGAGAATTTGCAGCTGACATTTTAAACTCAGTTATAATAATTAGGGTCTTACAGTTAGAAATTTTTATAAAACAAAATTTTTTCCTGTATGATGCATTTCTTTCTTCACAGAACACTTTTCAATTCAGGCTGGGGAAGTGCCACTAGAAGTATGTGAAAGATACAACTGTTGGTCAATTGATGAAGGCGAGAGAGAAAACTCAATGTATTCAACACAACGGTTCTTCCTACAAAAGACAACCACAAAAAAAAAAAACTTACCTTCTGCTCCAATTGAAACCAGCTTCACTCCTTTGCTTGCAATAAAATCTAATGCTTTGTTGACATTGTTTATTTTATGCACCCTCATCTTTCCTCGTTCAGGTCTGGGTAGTCGTTCTCCTACAAGATGGAGGAAAAAAGGCCGGTCAAACACACCTTTTTCAAATCACAAAAACTCAAATACACGTTTAGATCTGCATGCGCGCACAACACGGAAGTGGGGAAAACTAGGGACATCAGCATGGACCTTCCGACGTGAAAGGCACTAAACAAGTGTAACGTGCTTTGAAATTTCAGTTAGAGCATTTTTTCCAAGGGAAACATCTGGTGAAGACAGAGGACAGAAGATATAGGATTGGGGACCTTGCCTGCGATGAAACACTAACTGAATGTAAAGACTGTCCATACTTTACAGAATGCACCACTATTTTGTAAAGCCGTCCAAACTGACAGCTATAAAGGCGGAATTCAAGCATTATTTTCTTATCAAATCAATTATGTATTGTTAGTAGCCATTTGTACTTACTCAGAAACACTAAGCTGTTTAAACCTACTATCTGGGGTGGGGGGGAAGAGAGAGAGAGAGAGAGAGAGAGTGAGAGAGAGGGTACACAGGGTCTCCTTAGAGCTGAACTGGCCCCAAAGTGACATGCCTGGCCATGAAATGTTGGAATCGAGCCTGCCATGTCCACAGTACTCCGGGGCACTGCTGATGACAGCACAGCCAACCTCATCGGCAGGACGTGGAAGGTCAGAGCAGTGACTGGGGGCAGGGAATTCTCCCATTCGTTAACCCTACAAGCCAAAGCCCTAACAGGTAGGGTGGTCCTAGCTGGACAAGAAGCAGAAAGCGTCACTGCGTTTAAAGAGATGATTTCAGTTATCCCAGTAGGTTGACATTGAACTGACTTGTTGAAAGTGAACTTCGGAACTACATTATAATCCTTTTACGAGGAACCTGAAATGTAGCTTTATTAAGTTCTCATCAAAAAGTGGATTTAGATAACTGTTCAGAGACTTTGTATTCCATCAAATGCCCTAGACCTGCAATTCATTTTATTTGGGTTTTAATAAGACAACTACAATCCAAAAACATTATCTGATAACGAGCAACATTATTAAGCTTGGACAATTGTCAAAATGTCGATCTCAAATTGCTGAACAGCAACAAGTTGACAGTAACAAGAGGGACGACTCATCACCCGAGGGGAAACTGCCTATATGCTACATTCCCAAACTCACAGAATCTTACAACAACAAGATTAAATTTGTACAGCACAGAAGGAGGCCATTCGGCCCATCGTGCCTGTGCCAGCTCTTTGATAGAGTTATCCAACTAGTCCCGCTCGCCTGCTCTTATCCCCATAACCCTGCAAGGGATTTTTCCCAAACTCAAAAGAACTTTTTTCTTTTTTTAAAAAAAAACACAAAAGAACTTTTATGAAGACCTGAGGGAAAGGATTAGGAATCATACAAGCACACTAACCTGATGATTTCAGTACCAGTCATGTCAGCTCAAAGAGTGGATGTAAATCCTATTATCTCTTGGGCCCTCAGAGGTTTGTTCATAGAATGTTAAAAATATTATCTGCAAGTTGGTTCCAGTGCAGCTGGAGGCAGAATGAGTGCCAATTCAGTTATATTGTGGGTTCAAATATTTGGGCTTTTTAAAGAAAGTTCAGGACTAGCTAGCTTTCAGAGGGAAAACGCGTTCCATTAGCTTTAATGTAATGTTATTCCACATACCATTGTTCAAGATTCACCAGCTTGTAACTCAGTTTTATGGTACATTTCTTTGGAACGGATTCATTTCTGCAATAGTTTTGGGCATGCTTTCAGCGGGACAATAAAACGTGTATTACTGTCAACCACTTTTCTGTGACCCTGTGGAACTCTGTCCTAACCCTTTGGAAATCCACCCCACAGTCCCCTCGCCTCCTTCAAGGCCAGTCTCAAAATGCTCCTCTACGACCGTGCCTTCGATCACCCTCTTAAGCCCTGCACTCCACCTCTCCTGATGCCAACCTTCACCTCAGGTCCAAATCTCTGACTGTCCTCTTATGTGAAAGGTGCTATACAAATGTAATTTGTTATTGTTGTTTAAAATCTATTGAATTTCAAATTGGATTCTCCGTTTCAGTTGGCTTTTCAACATGGTTTGGCACAGTAACAAGCTACGGAGGTCAGAGCACAACCCAGACAGACATACCTCACTGTCCCCTGAACATCCGGCAAAATAAAATTAAATCTATTTCCACCCGCTAAACAAAACCATTCAAAACCAAACAGAACAAAACTTTTTTTGTTTACATTTTAAAACCTTACATTTTAACTGCTGAGTTATGTGCTACTTTCTGCTCTGTATATTCATGACATTTTATAAAATCACTTAGCTCTCTACCAAAAGTGGAGGGCCTTGCAAGCAGGATCATCTGACAGTTACAACCACCGTTTTAACAGGAAATAGCTTATTTACATTTACAGGATGTATCAAAGGACTGACTCAGTGATGAATAACACCATCAAGAATGACATTTACAGCACAGAAGGTGGCCATTCAGCTCTGCGTGTACATAGAACAATGACAAGGTAATCAACTAATTGTTAGGCAAAGTCAAGTTTGGGATTTAAAAGACTGTGGATGGTAGGAAGACTGAAGGCAACAATTTACATTGAATGGAACCTTTCACATCAGGATGCGGTCTCAGGGAAGCTAATGTCTCATTGTCATGAGATCCTGTGAAGGGATGACGTGTAGATGGAGCCTGCAATGAGTTTCACTTTAAACACAACATGATCTAGAGGTCAAAGTTGTTAACGTTAGATTTTTGAAAAGCACATTAACTTTCTGGTTATTGAAGATATTTGCCTAACAACCGTAAAGGGAGTAGAAATCTGGAACTATCTCCCCAAAAGGCTATGGATGCTGGATCCATTCAAATTTTCAAGACTGAGGTGGATAGATTTTTGTCAGGTAAGGGTATCAAGGGATGTGGGGCAAAGGTGGGTAAATGGAGTTGAGGTACAGATCAGCCATGATCTTATAGAACGTCAGAACAGGCTCAAGGGGCTGAATGGCCTACTCCTGCTGCTATGTTCCTATTCCAGTATGAAACTGTTCACTCACCTGAAATCACCTCCAGTAACAGCATGAGTTTGAGTCCATCTCTGAAATCCTCTTCAATAACTTCAATTTGTGTCCCTGCCTTCCTCAAGTGTGAGTTGCACCATGCTGTAAATGTCTGCAAAAGAAAAGTTTAAGGATAAACATGCAGGGAACGATGGGAGTCAGTCCAGATGATCCAGTAGTCATCATGATGACTATAATACAACAGTCAATTTTTCCATAACTGAAGTTACAGTATTGCAATGGTGCTTTAAGAGCTGTTCCTTGCTGTTAACTGCTGAGTTATGGGTGTTTTTGTGTCCTGTACGATCCCAACAATAGAATCCTACAGCGCAGAAGGAGGCCATTCGGTCCATTGTGCCTGTGTTGGCTCTTTGAAAGAGCCTTGCAATTATTTTCTTTTCAAATACCTATCCAATTCTCTTGGAAAGTTACTATCTAATCTGCTTCCATCACCCTTTCAGGCAATGCATTCAGACCGTAACAACTCGCTGCATAAAACAAAATTCTCCTCATGTCTCCTCTGGTTCTTTTGCCAATTATCTTGAATCTGTGTCCTGTGGTTATCGACCCAACTGCCAGTGGAAATAATTTCTCCCTATTGTTCTATCAAAAACCAAGTCAATTTTATTGCAATCCATAGACATAAGGGAGTCAAAGCTGGTACTATAGATTGTGCTAAGACTGTTATCGATTTATGTTGTAAGGCAGAAACTAAAAATACCACTGGGACCACTGCAGTGTGAAAATTCACAGACATCCATTAGTATTTAAGGGGAAGCTAACTAAATACATGAGGGAGAAAGGAATAGAAAGTTATATAATAATAAACCTTGAATTTGATATAGCGCTTTTCACATTTTCTAGACACCTCAAAGCGCTTCACACAAATATACGGTTAAGTGAATTGACTGTATATTTGTGGGCAAAATGCGGCAGCCAATTGCGCACAGCAGTGCCCCACAAACAGTCATGCACTGAAGTGACCAGTTTATTTTTTTTTCTTGAGTGATTATTACAAGCCGTATGGAGTAAGGAAACTTGCCCAAGGTTCCACCCTGCCAGGAATCGAACCCTTGTGAGGGGAGTGCTCTAACCACTGAGCTACAAGACGCCACTGATGCTGATAGGCTTAGCCGAGGAAGGGCAGGAGGAGGCTCACGTGGAGCATAAACACCGGCGTAGAGCAGTTGGGCCGAATGGTCTGCTTCCATTCTATGTAGGACATGGTCAATATTACCAACAAAACGTATAGCCCATTCACTCTGCGGGATATTCTGTGAAGCGCTTTGAGATGTCTCAATCACGTGATAAGGCGCTATATCAAATGCAAGGATTCTAAATGTCAAAACCAAAGTTAGAACTTCGGAATACTTCAAATATCAGCAGCTTTTTGAAGATCTTACAACCAGTTTCTGTAAACATCAGGTTATCCATTGACATGGGAATGAACGGACATTGGAATGTCATTGCAAAGAACTATGCTTACACAACTGCTTTAGACTTGTCAACTAAAGCAACGTTTAAAGTTACTCAACATACCAGAACTATGATGTGCATAGAACATTGCCAGGTGGCCATTATGCTCATATAGCATCTGTTTGCTGCTCAATTTCTAACACGACTATTCTAGGACAATGCCAGTCATGGCATAAAACTAACATGTACAACTCAACACAGCTCATTCACAGCTTTTGCCAATTTACTAATATTTCAGTTAAATCCCAAGAAGTTTTTCATGGACAAGCCACACATTCTTACTAAAAATTAGTCCCGTTCAGATTCCAGGCAATCCTTCGGGGTGTGCTGTTGCAACCCAACGATCTTTCCCTCTACATTCCTATGGTCCTTATACAGTAAACTCCCGATAAGTCAACCCTTGTTTAACTTGTCACTTAAGTCATCATGCTGTTAACATCCCGGCCACATTTATTTATGTATTTGTGCGTGTGCCCACTCCTGATAACCTGTCACTGACCCCTCGGAGGTGAAATTATTTTCAATTTATAGTGGGTCAAGCATTAGCGTTTCTGGTCTCATCTCATTTAAAATGTTAATGCAGACAAAATAAGTCCCTGCAGTTATATCAAACGTTAACTTGCCCAAGAAAGTTCTACGGTAAACTTGTTAAATTCTAGATAGGCAGGTTATTCCTGAAAACATCTCAATTGACAAGCCTTGCCATCTACTGAGCGCAATTGGTTGCCGCGTTTCGCCCACAAAATACAGTTAATCCACTTTCCAATATATTCTGTGAAGCAGTTGGCAACGTCTCAACGACGTGATAAGGCACTGTATCAAATGCAAGTCTTATCATGCAAGCCTTTTTATACAGACAACCTGGCTGGGTTGGTTGCACTCAGTTGCAAATAGAAAGAAGGTTGTGGTTTCAACCGCTACATGTAAGATCTAAAACTCAGGCTGACTGGTGTGGAAGCTCTGTACTGTCCTTCAAATGAGTCATTAACCAAAGACACGTCTGCCACTTCAGATGGATGATAAGAGATCACAAAACGCTACTCAAAAAGAGGCACTGAAACTGAAGGTCCTTTAAGAAAATGAAAAGAGCTATACCAAACCCGAAGATGTTTGTTGGTGAAGATTGGATTGTAAATGAAGCTTAAAATTCCAATCCAACTAAATAGAAGGTGATAACTGGAAATGGATCAAATAGGGACATAGGAACAGGTCAATCAGCCCCTCGAGTATGTTTTACCTTTCTATTAGATCACGGTTGATCTATTTCGCAACTCCAAATACCTGCCTTTGTCCAATATCCCTCAATACCCTTATCCAACAAAATTCCTTACCTAACAAAAATCTACCGACCTCATAATGAATAATAATTATGAATCAGATTCGGAAGTGGTAGTATTAAGCACATCATGGAACGTATTGCTTAATTGGATTTCCCAGCAGAGTTTATTATTTTAAAAACCGGTTTATAAATGGAAACTGAGACTGCCAGTAAGAAAGTCGTTTAAAAGCAGAACACAGTAGGCAAAACTTGGGAGCCTGGTGCATCATGTGGTACCACGACGCAAGCGTTGGTGCAAGAGCAGGATTTTCCTTGCCTGCTGTTAGAGGTAGGCCAATTTGCTCGGAGCAAACCTTATCCAGTTCCATTATGTATTGCCAAGATCCAACAAGAATGGATGGGACCGGATTTCCTCCACCCTGTGACCACTTTGAGCGTTCATTGCAGTAGCCAACATTTGTTTCACCACTTGTTGTCTTAGCCTCCAAATTCAGTGTGTGGTGCTCTTAAGCTCTTAACTGCACTTCAAGGAGAAATCTCCATTCTATTTAAAAAGAAATGCAGTGGATTTAGACAGGACAAGAACAATTTTAGCAAGGTCGTAAATTTACAGCACATCACATCTGTGCTGTTGCTCGCTACCCCATTGGGGCAGTCTTTTCTATTTCAGTCCTCTATCCCCTCACCCACCACTGTAACCTACATTATTCTTCCTTTAGGTATTTATCAAATCCCCCTTTATATGCTGTAGACAACTTCAAAAGACATGTGCATCCTAAAATTAACGTAATGACGAACTATAATTACTAAGGGCAGACAGATGAAATGGTGATTGCATCCAAATGTTGTAAATTAGCCCAATTCCACAAAAANGATCCACAATTTCCAATTTACGGATTCAGTGTAACAAATTCAGCAGCAGCTGCCGACATTTTGCTATTGACAACAATTTCTGGGGAAAAATTATAAAAGGCTGTGAACAAAACTTGAACAGATCCGTCGAAAGAGTTAAAATATCGCTGAATTTTCAAATTTAACAAATTACAGTTGCAATAGTACCATCACATTGGGAGGACGTCGCAAAGAGCCGGACAGTGGGATTTACAGTTCGTTATTGATGATTCCTAAGATTTCAAAGTTCCAACAGCTGAGTACCTAAATCATACAAAGTTTGAAAGATCTTTTTATAACTTGCGAGATGAGGAGGGCCAATTCTTATTGAAACGCAGCTGCGTTACATAAATTTGCAAAGCTATGGGGAAAGAGCGGGGGAGTGGGACTAGTTGGATAGCTCTTTCAAAGAGCCAACGCAGGCACGATGGGCCGAATGGGTTCCTTCTGTGCTGTAAGATTCTATGATTCTAGAGCGCAGTATATGTTAACCGGTGGCGTTGATCCCAGAGTCGTATGATTATTCCATCAGCTGCAACCAAAACACATCTTAAAAACTCAAACTTGAAGGAAAATATAATTCCGTTCCTTCTTGATCCACTTAAACGAGCTTCATACTGTGAAATACAAGGCCAGTTGGCACAAGCCCTGCTGACACCAGTATGAAACCAGCGTTTTGAAATATGGCAGTGGATTTGCTTTTTGTAGTTGGCCTGACAACATCTACACAAGTCTCAGTACATTTGCCTCACAGCCTTTCACATGCAATGAACACATCCACTGAGTCACAGTACATGTGTGATCCCAGAACGTCCAGACTCCCTGGAGTTGCTATTGCATCCAACATTGGTGGTCTAATTTTGCAGTTAGATCAATGCTTCGGTAAAGCAATTTGTGTCAAACGGTTCTGTTATGGTAAGTTTTTAGTAGTGTTAACTGCTCTCGCGCCAAAAAGGCCATCACGCAAGAGGAAGTGTTCCTGTTCTCCAATGAGATATGATGCCGGATATGATGCCATTAGAGATTCTGAGATGGGCTAAAATCAAGATGCTCCCAAACACTTGGGAACCATATAAAAATGAGAAGTAACTACCTCATAGCCAGGGAAAAAAATAATAATCTTTGCAATGATACAGCACCTTATCACATCCTCAAGATGTCTCAAAACGCTTCACAGAATATACCGTAAAGTGAATTGCATTTTGTGGGCAAAACACGCAGCCAATTGTGCACAGCAGTGTCCCACAAACAATCGTGTATTGAATGACCACTTTTTATTAAAATGGATTATTACTCACGGAAAAACAATCCACCATTCGATTAACAATCAGATTCCTACTTCCTGCTAGGAAAACAGGAGTGTGGAGTAAGGAAACTTGCCCAAAGTTTCGCCCTGCCCGGGAATCGAACCCAGGTCCTCTCGCTTGCGAGGCGAGTGCTCAAACCACTAAGCTACAGGACTCAAC